GCCCGGGATCCGAACCGGCGAACCCCGGGCCGCCGCAGCGGAGCGCACGCACTTAACCACTTGCGCCACCGGGCCGGCCCCTAAATTTAATTTAAAGTTAAGAAAATTAAGATTTCAGTTCCTCAGTGGCACCAGTCCCGTTTCAGTTGCCACATACCCTAATGTGGCCCATGGCTACCACACCGGATTGTGCAGACTCAGACATCTTCATCATCACACAGAAGGCTGCTGGACAGTGGTGGGTGTCAGTATTTCTACCTTCTTTGGCCTGTGTTTTAGAAAAATGTTCTCGAGACGTACAGGTGACATTTGCAACTTTTAGTCTGTTTTCTCTTGTCGTTATTTCTTCCTTTTTGATGAATAATCTAGAGTCGTAATTATTTATGATATAAAATATTCTTATAGTTAATTTGAAATGTGACCTTACTGTTTATAAAAATCTCTAACGTTTTTCTTTTTTATGTCATTCATTCCTAGGGTGCAAACATATGTCGGCTTTGGCATATTCATCAAGCTTTATATTGCTTTGATTATGATTTGGAGGAAAGTGGAGAAATTAAAGATATGCTACTTGAGTGCTTCATAAATGTTAATTATATCAAGAAAGAAGAGGTAAATAGATTCTTCTTCTTTGGTGTGTTTGTGAACTGCTTTTTAATGGATGTTTCTCTAAGTTCATGTGGTTGCTGTTTGTACCATGCTCAGTGTTTTAATCAAAGAGTCAGCTTAGCTATCAAGAGCTATTTTATTTATTGCATGTCGTTTTTACTGCATGGCAATATTAAGCAAACGTTTTACAGGTCATTTCTTACTTCATCATTAAATCAGGTGGTAACAGGTGGCTGTGTGAATCCTGAAGGAAGCACGGTTGCATTTTAAATTAAGAATGTTTAAAAATAAGGCTGAGAAAGCACTTCCTCATGGATCAGATCTGACCCTCTGCCCTAATTGAAGGTTAAATGGCATAGACTCAAAACTGTCATCACACAATATTCTCGGTTTCTTTTTTCTACCCATCCAGCAAATCCAAAGAGAGGCTTCTGGCACACTGCTGCACTGTCCATTCTGGTGGTCACTCCCACATGTGGCTAGTGAGCACATGAAATATGGCCAGTCGAATTGTGACCTTAAGTGTAAAATATACATGGATTTGAAACTTAGTGTTGAAAAAGAATATAAACTATCTCAATAATTTTTATATATTTATTCCGTATTTAAATGATAATAGTTTGGATATATTGGCTTACATAAATATATTATTAAAATTAATTTAATCTCTTATTAATGTGGCTACTAGAAAATTAAAAATTATAGAGTAGCTTGCATAGTTCTATTGGATAATGCTGATCTGTTATCTTATGATTCTTCTTTAGTCATTTATTGAACATTGATGCTATTCCCATGCAGGGATCCAAAGAAGAATATTGTTTGTATTATAGAATATAGCCTTTGTTTTTGATTGCTTGTGGCCTACCAGACACACATTTGAGGCAAAAGTGGAAAGTCATCCCTCTTCCCAGAGGAGGGGGATGAGTTCCAGTTCTGAGGCCCATAAATGAAGAATTTGCTCAAGGTCTCACAACCAGTCAGTGGTAGAGACAGAATTTGACTCCCGTTTGCCCAATCTGCAGTGCATTGTCTCCAGCCAGCTAGGTTAAAAGGCCATACGTGATTACTGACCATACTGACCAAGACCTTGGGCTCCCAAGGTGTGTTCAGATCCTTGTTCGTTCACTTTATAGGTGGTAACCTTGACCAGACTAGTTTCAACCTCAGTGTTTCTTTCTGTAAAATAGGAACAGCAGTTGCTCTCTCACAGGGTCCTGTGAGGAGCACACGAGGTACACAGCACACGTGTGTAGAGCCTTTCGCACAGCACCCGGCGGGTAATGAGCATGCAGGAAGTGCTCTGATTCTGCTTATTGCTGTTAATCATCATCATTGTTGGAAAAGGTGCTGGATGCATGGCCTGTGCCCTAAGCATCTCCAGGATTGTGATGAAGTTTGGAAAGAGTAAAGTAGTGAAGAGTGAATTCAGACAAACTTTGTTTATATTGACTTAGACGTCAGTAGTTGATGAATTGCGTTTGTTTAACTTATAGATATGTGTAAATATATAGCATAGACATAAAAGCACACGTGTGCATGTTATGACTTCCTTTTTTTAAAAATTGGTATGCTCTTTTGAATTTAAGATATCTAAACTTAGTTTCCTAATCAGTCATTAATTTGATCAGGTCAGTTTCCAGTCATTCTGGGTAAACGATAAATATCTCGTACTCTACTGGGAAATCGCTTCCAGTAAATACTATTTTTTTCTTTTCTTTTCTTTCTTTCTTTTTTTTTTTGGTGAGGAAGATCAGCCCTGAGCTAACATCTGTGCTAATCCCCCTCTCTTTGCTGAGGAAGACCGTCTCTGAGCTAACATCTATTGCCAATCCTTCTCCTTTTGTTTTTCCCCCAAAGCCCCAGTAGATAGTTGTATGTCATAGTTGCACATCCTTCTAGTTGCTGTATGTGGGACGCGGCCTCAGCATGGCCGGAGCAGCGGTGCGTCAGTGCGCGCCCGAGATCCGAACCCGGGCTGCCAGTAGCGGAGTGCGCGCACTTAACCACTAAGCCATGGGGCCGGCCCCTATTTTTTTTTCACTTGGCTGTTGCAAGCATGGTTTTGTATCAAAGTGTGTTGCAGATCTGTAGGATTCCAGAGAGAGTAGTGGCGTGCTGGTAAGCAGTGAAGAGAGAATGGTGCTGTTTACTGGAAAGATTCTTGCTGGATGTATTTTATGCACTCTATAGAGTGTAAATATTATATTCTTGCTTCTTAGGTTCATAATGTGTAATCTAATAGCTTGCATATATTTTAACATTACATAATATGTGTATGACATTTATAGCTTGTGGATTACATGTATTAAGAATTGTAGCTTGGCAAACACTTAGCCTCTTAAGTTTACAAGTCCTCAGTTTTTTCTTATATGTAAAAGATGATGTGAACTGTTGTTCAATTCCATTCTCACCCCAAAATGCTAGATTTCAGGCATTCTTTGATTTTAGGTTATGTAGACATCCATGACAGAGCCAGAACGACAGGACCATTTAACTTACCTGCTGGGCAGCGTGGTAAATGTCTGTCTGTGTAATCCTGTGGCCGAGCAGGGAAGGAGCTCAGTGGTGTCTGCTTCCGGACCCTCACGTGGGGAGGCCCTGCCGTGCTCTGCTGCCTGGCTCTGTCTCTCCAAGACTCCCACTGCTGTCCCCACGCAGGGGCTGCCACCCAAGGTGCTTTCCCCCAGCACAACTTCAATGTGTAAATTCTAAGTTATAATTGTGTACGCTTCCTTTGTTAGGAATAGCAAACTTTAGTGTTATTGAACATCCAAAGAATTGTTTGTTTTTTTGGTTACTGGGAACTTTTTTTTAAAATTTTATTTATTTATTTATTTTTCCCCCAAAGCCCCAGTGGATTGTTGTATGTCATAGCTGCACATCCTTCTGGTTGCTGTATGTGGGACGTGGCCTCAGCATGGCTGGAGAAGCAGTGCGTCGGTGCGCGCCCGGGATCTGAACCCGGGCCGCCAGCAGCAGAGTGCACGCACTTAACCACTAAGCCACGGGGCCGGCCCTGGGAACTTTTTATTTGGTTGCAATTTTAACATTATATCGTATTTTTTAATTTATAGGGGAGAAGATTTCTTAGTTCTCTTTTCAATTGGAATATAAATTTTATTAAAATGATCCATGGGACCATTAAGAACCAGTTACAGGGATTACAAAAGTAAGTATTAAAGGTAATTAATATTTTGTGGTATCTTAATCTGGTTTTGAAAGATTCTATTTGACCTTTTTTTTTGCTGAGGAAGGTCCACCCTGAGCTAACATCTACTGCCAATCTTCCTCTTTTTGCCTGAAGATTTTCCGTGAGCTAACATCTGTGCCAGTCTTCCTCTATTTTGTATGTGGGACACCGCCACAGCATGGTCGCTGACGAGTGGTGTAGGTCTGTGCCTGGGAACCGAACCCGGGCTGCCGAAGCAGAGCATGCCGAACTTAACCACTAGGCCACGGGGCTTGCCCCATGACCTGACTTTTAAAAGTTGTATTAATGTGTTAGAAGCTTTAAAAGTTATCTCTTAAATTAATTATTTATTATGTAGTGTTGTAGCACTGGATAGTTTTTTCCCTGCTATAGGAAATCATTCTTTTTCAGTAATGACATTGAAATTAAGATTTTTAAAAATTTTTAAATTTTTTAAAGTTTTTTCCCCCAGAGCCCCAGTAGATAGTTGTATGTCATAGATGCACATCCTTCTAGTTGCTGTACATGGGACGCAGCCTCAGCATGGCCGGAGAAACGGTGCGTCGGTGCGCGCCCGGGATCCGAACCCAGGCCGCCAGCAGCGGAGCGCGTATACTTAACCGCTAAGCCACGGGGCCAGCCCTGAAATTAAGATTTTAATTTGTGATAGTTCTATAAATAGTCTAATTATTTACCAGTTAAATCTCAGCCTCAAGTACAGTAAAGCCTGTGTCACTAGCACTTCTGGTACCATTTGAAAGTAATGTCTCCTTGCCAATTTACCATGGGCCAAGCTGTATGGTTTGGTGTGAAGAGCCCTGTAGGGGAAGAGTCTCAGGATGCATGCTCTAGCCCGAGCTCTCACCCTCTTGGACCCTAACAGTAGTCAGAGATGTCATGACAAATGTTTGCTGTTTGCCAGGGACAGGGCTAGATACTTAATTTGCTCCGGGTCTGAGTGCTTAGTCTGCATTTTGAAATTGAATCCTCAAACTCTTGAGGTGGTTTTGGTTACTAAATTTCCCTCTGTCAGGCAGCTGTGTAAGTACTGAGTTGGAATTTTTTTGTGTTTCTGTGAGGAAGATCAGCCCTGAGCTAACATCCATGCCAATCCTCCTCTTTTTGCTGAGGAAGACTGGCCCTGGGCTAACATCTGTGCCCATCTTCCTCCACTTTATATGGGCTGCTGCCACAGCATGGCCTGACAAGCGGTGCGTCAGTACGCGCCTGGGATCTGAACCTGGGCCGCCAGCAGCAGAGCTCGAGCACTTAGCTGCTATGCCACAGGGCCGGCTCCTGAGTTGGAATTTGATTCTGGATTTCTGATTGCAAAGCTCCTGCTGTTTACTAGAATGCTTCCTCCTGTTTCTTCATTTGGGGAATATTTGGATTGAACCAATAGATTTCTAAACTGTGATTCTGAAGTCAACTCTGGTATTTTAGGGCTCCCTGTACCTGAGGGAATTAGTAGCCTAGAAAATCCAAAGTGACTCCAAGTCAAAAAATTTATTTATGTTTAAGTGTATTTTACTTAAGAATTTGGTTCTACGTTTATGTTCTCATAGTTTCACAGAAGGTAAAGTTCTGGGGAAGCCTTGGCTGGGAAGGAAGAAAATAGTTTGATAATTCAGTTGCCCTTCTGAAAACTTTTTCCTTTTTCTACTTTCTGCTAGAGGTGGATAACATACCTCTATAGATAGTTTGCAAAGCTCTAGTCTAAACTGAGTTTCTTCTTCCCTAGGATAGAAGAGTACATGAAATGATACACAATAAAAGTATAATTCTGTGAACCTGTATTAAAATTTTTGATTTTTTTTTTTAAATAGATCTTTGATGGTACACATTGCAGAAATTTATTTCAGAGCTTGGAAAAAGGCTTCAGGGAAAATATTGGAGGTATTTTCATTTTATTAAATGTTAACACTTATTTTTATTATATTCTAGTTACTAAATAAGTAGTCGTGAAAGGGTCTGTGTTGATATTCTCTGTCAAAATAAAGCCAAATAGTGAGAACCTATGTGATGGAGATGTGATATCGTCTTCACTCACACTCACGCTTGTTTCCATGCTTGTGCACAGCCCCAAGATTCCCGTCACTCGATGAGATATGCAGTTTGATTGAAATCAAGATTTTACAAAAAGCTTTATGGTTTTTGGTAGCTCTAGACCTGTACTTTCCAGCCACATGTACTGGGCATTTGAAATGTGGCCAGTCTGAATTGAGATGTACTGTAAATGTAAGAAACACACCAGCGTTTGAAGATTGAGTGTGGAAAAGCAAGAATGTAAAATATCTCATGAATTTTTTAAAAAATTGATTGCATGTTGAAATGATAGTATTTTGGATGTGTTGGGCTAAACAAAATATGTTATTGAAGTAATTTTACCTGTTTTTTTGTTGGTTTTTTTTTTGGTGAGGAAGATTGGCCCTGAGCTAACATCTGTTGCCAGTCTTCTATTTTGTATGTGGGATGCTGCCACAGCCTGGCTTGATGAGTGATGTGTAGGTCTGTGCCTGGGATCCTAACTCGTGAACCCTGGGCCGCCGAAGTGGACCATGTGACTTTAACTACTACGCCACCAGGCCGGTCCCACCTGTTTCTTTTTTTTGTTTTTAATGTGGCCCCTGGAAAGTTTAAACTTGCCTTTGTGGTTCACATTCTGTTTCTGTCAGACAGTTCTGCTTGGGAACCTCAAGCCACCTCTGTAGTTACGTTATTTTTGAGAACTTAAAGACAATCGTTTTGAATATGGCTAACCTCTAATGACTGTATACTATCTGTATTATGAAGATATGGCTAAATAATTCACAATCAGAATTAAACATTCAAAGGCCCTCTTGGAAAATCATCAAAAGAAAGTGTCTGTCTGATATCACTTAGATTTTTCTCCTACTAGGTTCTGAAATGTGTTTTCTTTCCCTCTGAGAGTAAAATTTTTACTCTAAGTCAAAAAGGGGTCTTTCCTCTTTGGGAGCAGGCCCTGAATGGCGGGTGGAGGGAGGCGGTTTGCAGGCAGAAGGGGAGGTTACCTTATGTTTGAAGTTTATTTCTGTCTACTCTGCTCTCCTGCCCAGCTTAAGCTTGGTTTATATTGCCAGGGGTTATCACTGACTTCTAGGAAACAAAAAATTATCACATAATTCTCCTGCTGACAACTTCTAGAATAATTTTACAGGGTATTATTTTTTGGGGAAAAGGGCAAAACCAGGACATTGTCATGCATTTTTTTGCATTGTTTTATTACTGCATGAAACTTGTTCACACGAAGGAGTATTTGTCCCTCTTTTCTCTAATAGTGGTTTAAAAAAATGAGAGTTTGTAATTAAAAACTTAATTATTTGACTAGATATGTACCAAATTAGTGCTGACAATTTGTACTTCTCAGTTTCACTCCCTTCCCTCTTCCCTCTCGCTTTAAGTTTTTAAAGCAAATTCTAGATATGACATCTCATTTCCGTGAACTTCAGTGTGCATCTCTAAAAAATATGGTTATACAGTGCCATTATCATACTTAACAAAATTAGCAATAATTCATGGATATTTTTTAGAATAATCGGGCCCTATTTAAATTTCTCTGCTTTGTTTCAAAAATGTCTTTTTACAGTGTTTTTGGAATCAGGATCCAAGTCTCCCTGGCATTTGCTTGTTATATCATTTAAATCTCTTACAGCATTCCTCCTTCCCTCCTTTTCTTTTTTTCAAAAGCTGTGCCGTTGATATGTTGAAGAAACCAGGTCAGTTGTCTAGTAGAATGTCCGTATTCTGGTAGTTAGCTTTAAAGGTTCAACTTGTGTGGCACAAATACTTGATAGGTGGTGCTGAATATCTCATATATATTTCATCACAAGTCAGACGGTGTGTGGCTCCCCATGTCGTGATGCTAAGATTTATTAGTGGCTTCAGGTGAAAGAAATATTTTCAAAGATAATGGAGAAGAGGGTAATATCAGTAGCAAGCTCTCCTTATGTCCTTCCCTAAAGCCATGGAATCCCCAATGTGAGGGAGGGTGTAGGGTAACAGAACATATGGTCTGTTGGGGATTTGGGCTACTCCTGGCAGTTGACCTTGCCATAGTGGCTCCACTCTGGAGGACCGTCAGTGTCCTGGGTTAACGGAAGAGCTTCCACACCCCGCCCCTGCCCCACCCCTCTTCCTGGCAGCCCTCAAAGGTCTTGTTTCAGTCAGTTTGGAATCCTGGCCCCTAGCTTAGAGGTGGTTCAGTGTCAGTTCTGGGGAGGCTCTTGGAACAGATTGGTCTTCTGAGGTTATCAGAATGACTCAGAAGAGGGGCTCCCAGGCCACGCTCTGTCTCTGAGCCGTCTGGGTTGAATAGCCTCAAGTGGTAGGGGCAAGCTTACCATGCCATTTAGCAGAGGTTTGATATTTCATCAGATTAGATAGAAGAAACTAGCATTCTCTCTGATATTTGAAAACTAACAGAATTCTAAGAGGTATAGACTTAAAATAAAAAAGCTCTTGTGAAAGGATCCAGTTTTTTTCCTCACGAAACGGAAGATGAGCAGATCAGATTCTTCTGTAATAAACCTGCTGCGCTGTGCTGTCATCTGCTGGAGTGCACACACCCACCAGGTGCTCACGTCGTGTTTGTTGTTGCAGACAATCGAAAATGGCTGCATCCAGGACTTGATGTACCATGGGATCCACCTGCCAAGGAGGTCTCCAGTGCACTCCAAAGTGCGGGAGGTGAGGGATGCCGCCACAGCACTGACTGTGCACTTCTTAAATCATGTCTCGTCTCTTTTATTTTTTGATAATTGTTTTTGTTAAATTTAAAAATTAAGTTAAGCTTCACAGGCATCAGTTAAAAGGATTTCTCAGAATTGTGATATTTGGCTCTGGCAGTTTTCTCCTGCCACCAAGTTTTTTTTTTTTTTTTAAGATTTTTTTTATTTATTTTTCCCCCAAAGCCCCAGTACATAGTTGTCTGTCATAGCTGCACATCCTTCTAGTTGCTGTATGTGGGATGCGGCCTCAGCATGGCTGGAGGAGTGGTGCCTCGGTGCGCACCCGGGATCCGAACCCGGGCCGTTGGCAGCGGAGAGCACGCACTTAACCGCTAAGCCACGGGGCCGGCCCAACCACCAAGTTTTAATTAGGAAAGCAAAGACTGTTAAGACATCAGAATTTTATTCAAACAAACTTTAACTAAATTCTTTGACATAAAAATGTTCAGAATCATTACTTTGTAACTGCCACTACACTTTTTTCAAAAAAGAGGATAATTGAAGTTATTTTTATTATTTACTTTCATCCATTAAATTTCCATTTTGGTATTTTGCAAACCAAATGGAATAAATGTTTTGATAGTTTCTCTTAATAAGCTTTTGTTTTTAAAAGGTAGTCTCAGGGCCAGCCCCGTGGCTTAGCGGTTAAGTGCACGCGCGCCGCTACTGGCGGCCTGGGTTTAGATCCCAGGCGCACACCAACGCATCGCTTCTCCGGCCATGCTGAGGCCGAGTCCCACATACAGCAACTAGAAGGATGTGCAGCTATGACATACAACTATCTACTGGGGCTTTGGGGAGAAAAAGGGAAAAAAAGGAGGAGGATTGGCAATAGATGTTACCTCAGAGCCGGTCTTCCTCAGCAAAAAAAATAAAAATAAAAGGTAATCTCAAAATTTAGAAATGAATTTTATCCTAATATTATTAATAGTCTGACTAAATAAGGCTCTATTATCAGTGTCATTATTACACTGATAGGTGTTTGATAATCATAATGATCCTGGCAGGAGAAATTGGAAAATCTGGTCTGTTGTGTTGATCAGCATCCTAAATCCACAGTGATGCCTTGTTTGGTTGCTGTTAGTGTTGGCAGCCATGTGTCAAGAAGCTAAGTGAACAAAGACTACCTCTTTACTTTTTTGTTTAGTGAAGTTGCTAATATTTGTAGAATGTAGATACCGAAAACGTTTTTTTTTTAATGTTATTGATGATTTAGTTTGAGTTATCCAAAGATAAAGGACCCAGAGATAAATATATCCAATTGCCCCGACCCCTAATCCCAGTGTGGCTTCCTTAAGTTGTAGGTCAGTTTAGGTCATTATTTCACATATATGATTTGATGTTTCACATTCTATTTAGTCATAAAGAATGGCATCAGGGCTGTCCTGGTGGCACAGTGGTTAAGTTTGCATGCTCTGCTTCGGTGGCCTGGGGTTCGCAGGTTCGAATCCTGGCAGCGGACCGACACACTGCTCGTCAAGCCATGTTATGGCAGTGTCCCACATACAAAATAGAGGAAGATGAGCACAGATGTTAGCTCAGGGCCAATCTTCCTCACCAAAAAAAAAAGAATGGCATCGTGTTAAACTGTACAAATTTGTGACATAGTTGCTTCACTCTTAACAAATAACTAATTTCGTATCTGATTTTCTGCTGTGGTAGTCTGAGTAATTAAGATATTATAAGTGTAGGGCTGGCCCCGTGGCTTAGCGGTTAAGTGCACGCGCTCCGCTGCTGGCAGCCCGGGTTTGGATCCTGGGCGCGCACCAACGCACCGCTTCTCCGGCCATGCTGAGGCTGCGTCCCACATACAGCAACTAGAAAGATGTGCAGCTATGACAGACAACTGTCTACTGGGGCTTTGGGGGAAAAATAAATAAATAAAATCTTAAAAAAAAAAAAAGATATTATAAGTGTAGATATCACTATTTGGTAAATTTATGGAAAAATGCACAGAAAGAATTAAAAAGAAGAATATTAGATTTCACTTTTCAAATGAAATGTATTCCTGGACTCCAAGTAATTGTTATTACTGCTTATAACACTTTGTACCTTTTTCCTCAAATTCTTTTTTTTTTTTTTTTGAGAAACATCATGTTTATATGATAAATCATTTTTATTGATATGTTGAAAGAAGCTTCAGGAAATGCTGCAGAAGTCATTTGAAAGTAAAAATCCCCATATTGTTGATGAAAATCTTCTAAAATTAGACAGTAGTAATAGTTGCACGACTCTGTGAATATACTAGAACCCACTGACTTGTACACTTTAAAAGAGTGACCTTTATGGCATGCGAATTATATCTTAATAAGCTGTTTAAAAATCTTTCTATAAAGTGAGTCTATGATTGCTACTAAAACTTGATAATATTGTACACAGAAAACAAACTATAGACTAATACCACTTATCACCCTCAATAAAAACTCCTAAATAAAGAATTAACAATCAAAAAAAAGAATCCACAGACTGTAGTTCGTTTAGGGTAAAGATGATTCAAGTTAATTTTGAAGTATAGGCTATTGTTTTAAAGTCTGTTTAATTTTTTTATTTTCCATTTTTCACTAATATAATTTTAGCTCCAAGAGTTGTAAATTAAGGAAGTAAGGCAAAATTGATTGTTGTTGGGGACAAGAGTCTGTGAAGAAATGCAGGAAGATTCTGGTTGTAAAGAGGCGGGTAGAAGAGAACAAAGGATTGGAAGTGGAAAGAACAATCTGTTTTCTGATTATTCATAAGTTTTGGGAAGAACTTGGTGTCTAAATTAAGCTTGTACTGTGAAGGATCACTAGGCAGTGGCACCCATTTTGAGATATATGCCTTTTCTGTTTACCCATTACAGGTTCTTAGAACAAAAGGGAGTTGTAGCCAGCGCATTTTAGAACCAGAGTGGGCTATAGAAACCACTTAGGCTGGCTCCTTTACACACCCTCCTTTTCTATTTTACCCTGAAGGTCAGAGGTTTAAGTAACTTTTTTACGAGGTTATGTGGCTGTTGGTAGACTAGGAACTAGAACCCAAAACTTTTCATAGCTCAGGGTCGTTGATCTTTATTTCTGCCATAGGTTTCTTTCATGTGATTAATCGTGTTTAGTACTGTCAGTATATCTATCCTTGTAGTTTCTCTTAGGAAAGAATTGTCAAGGCTTGTGAAGCATGAGTGCCTATATTGGTGGCGAGAACAACCTGCTCTCCCTGTTGGTTTTTTCAAAGTAGGATCTTAAATGCTTCTTTTACAAACAGCATTATCTTTTTTTGTGTGTGTGTGTGAGGAAGATCAGCACTGAGCTAACATCCATGCCAATCCTCCTTTTTTTCTGAGGAAGACTGGCCCTGAGCTAACATCTATTGCCAATCCTCCTCCTTTTTTTTCCCCTTTTTCTCCCCAAAGCCCCAGTAGATAGTTGTATGTCATAGTTGCACATCCTTCTAGTTGCTGTATGTGGGACGTTGCTTCAGCATGGCCGGATGAGAGGTGTGTCGATGCGTGCCCGGGATCCGAACCCAGGCCGCCAGTAGCAGAGCGCGTGCACTTAACCGCTGAGCCACGGGGCCAGCCCCAAAAACAGCATTATCTTTGTTTTCTTTTTTCTTGGCTCTTAGGTGCTGAGTTATTTTCACCATCAAAAGAAAGTTCGGCAGGGAGTGGAAGAGATGCTTTATAGATTGTATAAGCCCATCCTTTGGAGAGGATTAAAGGTATACGTTTTAAATAGTCTATCCATGTTTAGAGTGTACTAATTATGCTTTTGAATTTAGCATACTTTAATTCAAAATTGTAACAAGGCAGTAAAAATAAGACCGGAGCCTGGGAGCTTTGTGAAATTTTGGGCCAAATGTTTTATTCATTTGTTAAAAGCATTTTTTAGGTCCATTAAACTTGGAATCTGAATTGGTTTAGTGCTGACTACACAGTTGGAAGGGGAGTAGTCATGCTAAGTAAACCAGCAAAGGTGGTGGAGGGTCTGCAGAGCTAGGTTGGACTGTCCTGGTCCTCGAGGCATCATCACGCTGGTGACTGGGGAACAGGATGACAACATTGGAAGAAGTGTTCAAATGAACACCTGAGTAATTTTCAATGCAAGTAACTCTGGTGTCAGGAGTGGGATATGATGGTCACTGTTAATGACACAAGGAGGGCTCTGAAGCAAGGAAACGGATCTTTTAATATCTTTTGACATTCGATATTAAACTGCCAGTTTGGCTTAACTTAAGGAAGATGTCACAAGTTTGGTCGTTTAAGTGTTATAATTGTCTGTGATTTGTAAATAGGTCTATACTGAGATACTAGAAGTGTTACTTTAGGAACTCTACCCTGAAGCCCTTGAATGTCATCTCTTTGGATTCTGAAACACTCTTCTTTCATTATTCTAGGCCAGAAACTCTGAAGTCCGGTCAAATGCTGCACTGTTGTTCGTTGAAGCATTTCCTATTCGGGATCCTAGCTTTAATGCTATTGAAATGGATAGTGAAATTCAGAAACAATTTGAAGAACTCTATGTACGTATTTCATGTGGTCGAGCTCCTTGTGCCTTCAGCTCTGTCTAGGCCTGGTATGCATCCTGGTCGTGCCCCTGTAACTGCCTGTGTGCTGGTCCCTACATGGCAAGCTTTCCAGATCTTGACATTCTTCAAGGAAATCATTCTCTCCCTGGTAACTTCTGTGACAGCATGGACCCGTAGTGTCCTTTTTTCTTCCTCTTCATCTCCTTTAGAACATCTAATTATTTATTACTTTATATAGTTTTAAATGTTTTGTGTGTACTCTTGTTTCCCCAGCAGAAAGGCAGTGTGACATAGTGGTTAAAACAGATCTGGGGCTTGATTCCCCCTCACATTTAAGCTGTGTAGCTTTGGGCAGGTCACTAACTTGTCTGTGCCTTTTTCTGTGAATTGGGGATGGTGATATTGCCTACTGTAAAGTTGTGGGATAGTATGAACAAACACTGGTTATGTTTTAAGGCAAGCCTGGTACAAATCATACTTGTCGAGATAGATTTTTTTCAGATGGCTGATTTTTCTAAGGAGATGTTAAGACATTAGGATGTGACATTTATTTCCAAGGGATATTGTGAATCTTTTTCATCTAGCTGGAGAGAGCTAGCCTCTGCTTATTTCTCTATGTTCCCTTACGTTTGCAGGGTTTCCTAACACAAGCTAAAAAATATTTATTGTCCTAAGGCCAGCCCTGTGGCTTAGCGGTTAAGTGCGTGCACTCCGCTACTGGCGGCCCGGGTTCGGATCCCGGGCGCGCACCAATGCACTGCTTGTCCGGCCATGCTGAGGCTGCATCCCACATACAGCAACTAGAACGATGTGCAACTATGACATACAACTATCTACTGGGGCTTTGGGGGGAAAAAAAGGAGGAGGATTGGCAATAGATGTTAGCTCAGAGCCGGTCTTCCTCAGCAAAAAGAGGAGGATTAGCATGGATGTTTAGCTCAGGGCTGATCTTCCTCACAAAAAAAAAAAAAAATTTATGGTCCTAGTTGGTAGAATACAATTTTAGGAAGTGATAGCAAAAACACCATGATAATGATGGTTACTCATGGCACTTCTAAAATACTTCCTTTTGTTTCTTTGTTTTCAGACTTGTGCAAAATCTCAGAAAGTTGACATAATAGTATAATGAATATGTGTATACTTATCTTTTAATACACATATATGTACATACACACATACGCACATGCACACATACATACACGTGTGTGTGCATTCACATGCATGTACATAAACACCCCCCCACACAGACACACACATACCCCTAAAATGAACAGTCATCACTATTTTGCCATGAGTGCCTTAGCCACATGTATATGTATCTAAAATTCCCTTTGCAGATCATGGTTAATTTTGTGGGGCAAATGTTGCTGGGCAAACCAAAACTAGATTTTGGTAGCTTTTAGCCAACAAACTATGAAAAACTTGCACTTTTTAACTCAGATATCCCAATCTGTGAACCACTTTTGTTTGTGCCTGAAATGTTTAAATATCTGCATTTGAATGCAGTGATGGAGTATGTGCTGATGTCCAGCACCCCTCTTCTGCTGCACCTGCTCTTTTATTCACTTCCGGTGAGTGCTTGGCCCCTGCTGCTCCTGAACTGAATGTGTAGGAGTAGGGTATTATGAACGACTTGCTGGGTAATCATTTTAGCCCTTCAGATGGGAAGGCAGGATGCATACTGATTAAGAGCATGGAGTCAGACATTTTGTTTTCAGTACCAGTTCCACTTAAGTCTGATCTTTGTCAAATTACTTAACTTCTCTTCTGTTTCTTCTTTAACACTGAGAATAATATTTTATAGGATTATGATAAGGTTTCAATGAAAAATTGTATGTAAAACATTTAGCTCCATCTCTAGCACTAAGATGACAGTGGTTATTATTGTCCATAGAAACATTAAATGTATGTAAAGTGATATGATTGTCTAATATAATATTAGGAACATATTGGTGAATCCTCTGTATCTTGTACTAGAAACTGGAGTGAATTTCTAGAGAGATGAGTTTAGTACTAATTTACAAAGTGAAAGGTGTGTAGGAGATGTCAGTCTCTTGGAGATGTAGATACTGTCAATTACTTGATATCTTGGATACACTTAGAATATTGGCTAATGAAAGTATAGTGTAACTCAATCTCTCTATTCCATTAGAATTCTTTAAATTGTATTAATTATAGATTGAAGAAATCTTACTGTGAGAGCATCATAGTTGGTAGAAATTTCATATGAATAAAAATATTTCCAAGATATGAAGGTTAATGCATTGTTAGCAGTTGTGTAATATGTACATCCTAATAAGTTTAAGAGGCAAGGCCTATGAAATAATTATTTTACAGTGAAAAAAATATTACACGTAGGAATGGCATATTCTTATTGGAGAAAATACTTGAAAGATATACCAACTCTTTGCTAGAATCAGAAGAACTTGACCATATTGAGATTGGAACACAGAGGAATCTATATTTGGATTAATCATCCTGAGTTTTGTTTTCATTTTATTAACCTTTTAAAAAATAAAAATTATTAAATTCTCTTTTATTTGAATTTAAGGGAATAAAAAAGCTAAAAGAATTGTTGAAGTCAGTTAAATGTTTTTTCAGAAGAAGAAATATTAAATTCTAAGTCACTCGTGTAAGTTTAAAAAATAGTAGATGTATAAAACATTGATGTTACAGTTGTTTTTTAAAATTACATATTTCTTAGTGGAGATAGGTTTGTGTTTTTCACGTAGCAAAACTCAGTCAAAAAAGAGTCTCATAAAAATGAGATGTCACTGTCTAAACAGATTTTTTTTTTTTTGTGAGGAAGATCAGCCCTGAGCTAACATCCATGCTAATCCTCCTCTTTTTGCTGAGAAAGACTGGCTCTGAGCTAACATCTATTGCCAATCCTCCTCCTTTTTTTCCCCAAAGCCCCAGTAGATAGTTGTATTTCATAGTTGCACATCCTTCTAGTTGCTGTATGTGGGACGCGACCTCAGCATGGCCAGAGAAGCAGTGCGTCAGTGCGCACCCGGGATCTGACCCGGGCTGCCAGTAGCGGAGTACACGCACTTAACGGCTAAGCCATGGGGCCGGCCCCCATAAACAGATTTTTAAAAGACTATTTTAAGCATTAAAAACAACAATAATGAAGTTTCAACTCTAAGTCTGTGTTTAAGATGAAAATTTAATAGGGAAAGGCTCGTGTGTAAGCAACATATACTATGAAAGCTGTGAATCACTTTTGGAGTGAAGGGAGCTTATGGGAAACCATCGCAGACAGTAATTATTATGAGCTCAAAGAGTTTCACTCAGTCCTACTTTGCTGCAGGCCATCCTTGGGGAGGCAGGTGTCTGAGTGTTTGAATCCCAAGATGTTTTTTATTTCTTCCTGACACTTAATTTATAGTTTGGCCATGTAGAGTGTTTTATGTTAAATAATTTTTTTCCTGGACTGTCAAAATATTTTGCATTGTTTTCTAGCATTGAGGGTTTCTGAACCTTGGAGGATATTTTTCTTTATCTTTTGATTTTTTTTCCCTCTGCTGATGTGCCATGAAATTCAGTGTATTAGTTTGAATCTTAGACAAAAGAAGTTTTCTTAATAATCTGATTATTTTCTTCTTTCCAATGTTTGTTCTTTCCCGACTCCTTTTAGGAGGCGGTGCGATAGAAACTTTAGGAGCAGGAGTTGGCAAACCGTTTTTGTGAAGGGCCAGATAATGATGATTCTGGGTCTGTGGGCCACGCGGTCGCAGCTATCCCACCCTGCAGTTGTGGCTCGGAAGCAGCCGTGGACTGCACAGACATGAGTGAGGGCAGCTTGTCCAATAAAATCGCATTTATGGACGCAGACATTTGAATTTCGTGTAATGTTCATGTGTCACAAACTACTATTCTTTTGATTTCAAGCATTTAGAAATGAAAAACCATTCTTAAGTGTTGTGGACCACACAAAAGACAGGGATAGGCTGGATTTGGCCTGTGTGTTGGCTAAGAGTTGATGACCCCATTGGATCAGGTACTGAGTAAAGGGAAATGAATCTTTTATGAGGATTTTTTTTTTTTTTTTTTTTAATATTCAGCTTAAGAATTTCAGGGCCACAGAGATAGGATGAATTTTAGCCACAAAAGCATGTGAGTGGTTGTTGCTGGTGATTAAGAACTCTTGCAGAAGGTTCCACACCCTGCCACCCCACCCTGAGCTGAGGTTGAGACGGAAACGTCTCTTCTTGGTGAAGTCAGGGATATTTTTTCTTCATTCCCAGCAATGAGGTCAGTCGTTTGGGGTTCCATCATTTTGCACAGGACTTTTTTTTTTTTTTTTCCCTGTAATTTTTATTTATTTATTTTTTTCCCCCAAAGCCCTAGTAGATCGTTGTATGTCATAGTTGCACAGCCTTCTAGTTGCTGTATGTGTCACGCAGCCTCAGCATGGCCAGAGAAGCGGTGCGTCGGTGCGTGCCCGGGATCCGAACCTGGGCCGCCGGCAGCGGAGCGCGTGCACTTAACCACTAAGCCACGGGGCCGGCCCCTTTTATGAGGATTGATGAAAGAGATAATCTGATAAATAAGAGCAATGATTATTTCCTGAGACCCTCCATGTGCCTTAACTGTTCTCTCGCGCTCTTTGCTCTGTTAGTGCTTCTCAAACCTCAGTAATATGGAGACTTTTTTTGAAGATAAAAAATTGAGGCAGCCCATGAATGTCTGTAGATGTTGAGATGCAGTGATTTCTCCTTGTAGAAACAGCATTACAAGTTAAGTGCCATGGTTTTGAGTGATTGTCTGGTGACAGTGGGATTGAATGGAAACACAAATGTGGGTCATGAGTTTTATGAGACTATGTGGTTATAAGGTGATTATCCAGAATATATTTTTGAAGAATAATATTGTAAGTAATTCATAGAAAACAAAATCTCTAAAACCTGCGAGTTTCAAATTTAGGTCCTCAGATTCCTAAAGTTTTCTTCTATTTTTTGTTTTATTTTTTTCTTGCCATTGTTTTTTCTCAAATGACTTGTCATATTCACTTTTCCATTTTTATTTTTGAATAAAGGTTTGGGTTGATTAGGTCATTGGCACGGCTTTTTGTCTGGTTGTGTCTTCAGTAGACTTCTTTGCATGGTGAGTTGATCGTGGTTTTGCATAAGTGGGTAGGGCTTGTCAGCAGGTAGGATCCCCTGTAGGTTCTGTGGCTGAGGGACAAGCAGGCTGGTGGCTGCACCGTTACCAGGTGGGAAGGAGCCTTCCCTCCTGGGTGGCATTCTCTCCTTTCTTTTTTCCTTTGTGGAGGTTCTGCAGTTATCACTGCTCGTCTGCCCCCCAGTATCTATTCCGAGAACTCTTCCTGGCAGGCTGTTTTCCCTGGGAGCAGACGCTCACTCCTGAACCACCACGCTGTGTCTGGGAATTGTTTGTAGCCCTTGTAGTGTCTGTGGTCCTGACCCCGGGTTTGGGGCTGGCCTGAGTCTGTGCAGGGCATAGGAATGTCCAGGTCACAACCTTTTCTGCTCCTTTCTCCATGAATCCATTCCTTATTCCCTTTCTTTCTCGTAGGAATCCCATAGTCTTTTTATTTCCAGCATTGCTGTTATCTTATTTGTCATTTTGGACAGATTTTGGGGAGGAGAGGAAGTAAGTGCTCATTCATCCTAACTTGAAGCCTTTTTTTTTCTAATTAAGGAATAGGAATTATTTTATGTTTTTAAACTTTTCTAATAGAACATTTCACACATAATAAATAGAGAACCTAGTGCAATAAACCTCTATGTACCCATTCCACAGTTTCAGTAATTGCTGACCCAAACCTGATCTAATTCTTCTTCCCTTGTTTTGAAGCAATCTGAGGCATCGTATCATTTCAACTGTAAATATTTCAAGAGATATTGCTAAAAGATAGGGGCTCTTTTTTATTTCGAGGTCATAATAGTATATAACATAGTGAAATTTCAGTTGTACATTATTATTTGTCAGTCACCATATATATATGTGCCCCTTTACCCCTTATGCCCACCCCCCTACCCACTTCTCCTCTGGTCACCACTAATCTGTTATCTTTGTCCATGTGTTAGTTTATCTTCCACATATGAGTGAAATGATATGGTGTTTGTCTTTCTGTCTGACTTATTTCGCTTAACATAATACCCTCAAGGTCCATCCATGTAGTTGCAAAGGGGACAATTTTGTCTTTCTTTATGGCTGAGTGGTATTCCATTATATATATATACACCACATCTTCTTGATCCGTTCATCAGTCGATGGGCACTTTGGTTGCTTCCACGTCTTGGCTATAGTGAATAATGCTGCAATGAACATAGGGGTGCATGAGTCTCTTTGAACTGTTGATTTCAAGTTCTTTGGATAAATACCCAGTAGTGGGATAGCTGGCTTGTGTGGTATTTCTACTTTTAATATTTTGAGAAATCTCCATACTGTTTTTCATAGTGGCTGTACCAGTTTGCATTCCCACCAGCAGTGGATGAGGCTTCTCTTTTCTCCACATTTTCTCCAACATTTGTTATTTTTTTGTCTTTGTAATTATAGCCATTCTAACTGGTATAAGGTGTACTCATTGTAGTTTTGATTTGCATTTCCCTAATAATTAGTGATGTTGAGCATCTTTTCATGTGTCTGTTGGCCATCTGTATGTCTTCTTTGGGAAAAGGTCTGTTCGTATCCTCTGCCTATTTTTGGATCGAGTTGTTTGTTTTCTTGTTGTTGACTTGTATGAGTTCTTGATATATTTTGGAGATTAACCACTTGTCGGATATATGATTTGCAAATATTTTCTCCCAGTTTTTTCATTTTGTTCCTGGTTTCCTTTGCCTTGCAGAAGCTCTTTACTCTGATGAAGTCTCGTTTGTTTATTTTTTTCTTTTGTTTCTCTTGCCCAAGTAGACATAGTATTTGAAAAGATCCTTCTAAGACCAGTGTCAAAGAGTGTACTGCCTATATGCTCTTCTAGGAGTTTTATGGTTTCACGTCTTACCTTCAAGTCTTTAATCCATTTTGAGTTAATTTTTGTGTATGGCGAAAGATAATGGTCTACTTTTATTCTTTTGCATGTGGCTGTCCAGTTTTCCCAAGACCATTTATTGAAGAGACTTTCCTTTCTCTGTTGTATGTTCTTAGCTCCTATGGGACTCTTGTTTTTTTTAGGTATAATCATACCATTGTGACAACTAAAGAAAGATGAATGATTCCTTAATGTCATCAAATATCCAGTGGTTTTTTTCCAGCAACATTGCAGTGACGTTTTTTCCAGTTTTGTTTGAATCTGTGTATAAATAAGATCCGTGTTTTGTGATTGGCCAGTGTATTGTTTAAGTCTCTTGGACTATCAGTTCCCTCTCCAGCAATCTTTTCCTCTCTCTCCATTTTTTTTTGCTTGCTATTTTTGTTGTTTAAGAAGCCAGATTCTCGGGCTGGCCCCATGGCTTAGCGGTTAAGTGCGCACGTTCCGCTACTGGCAGCCTGGGTTCAGATCCCGACTGCGCACTGACACCCCGCTTCTCCAGCCATGCTGAGGCTGCATCCCACATACAGCAACTAGAAGGATGTGCGACTATGACATACAAATATCCACTGGGGCTTTGGGGGAAAAAAGGAGGAGGATTGGTGATAGATGTTAGCTCAGAGCTGGTCTTCCTCAGCAAAAAGAGGAGGATTAGCATGGATGTTAGCTCAGGGCTGATCTTCCTCAAAAAAAAAAAAAAAAAAGAAGAAGCCAAATTCTCCTTCTGTTTCCCACAGTCTGGGTTTTACAGAACCTGTCCCGGTGGTGCCATTAATGTGTTCCCTGCCCTTTGTACTTCCTGTAAATTGGTAGTTGAATACAGAGTTGATGAGAGTCATGTTTTTGTGAGGGCTTTGTTGTGTTAGATTCTTTGTGACACTGTTGCGCACTTCTGTTGGAGTACATAATGTCTTATCTCCTTTTGTACTGTTAGCAACCACTGACGACCATGGCCTGGATTAACTCATTAGAATTACTTCATCTGGGCTTAGTGCGTTACAGCATTTTGGAAATTCACCAGAGGATTTGCATAGGCTGTGTCTACTAAGATCAACTGAAGTCTGCATTTCCCACTGAATGGTGGAGCTGGTATTTGAGGCCCTGCTGTCAGCAAAGTCCTACAGATGGGATTGGCAAATGAGGCACCATATGTGTCTGGATTGTCCTCTTTAAATGCTCAGCTATAGAAATGATAAATAAGCAGAAATCCATGAGTCAGTATATGGCCAGTCTTTCTGTAACTGTAACGAAGTGTCTAAGTTGTGAATGCCCAAAGTGCTAATGTGTAAAGCAAATATTGATATAAAGGGAACTGATTTAAGATTTTTAAGCCTTTCTCCCCCTCCTACTTATAGAGCCTTTTAGAAGATCCTTATCCGATGGTCCGTTCCACAGGGATCCTTGGTGTTTGTAAAATAACTTCCAAATACTGGGAAATGATGCCTCCGACCATTCTTATTGATCTCCTCAAGAAAGTAACTGGGGAACTGGCGTTTGATACAAGCTCAGCTGACGTACGCTGTTCTGTCTTTAAGGTAAGATTCAAAATTAGATAAGCAGTATTTATTTATTGTAGAATAGTGAGAAAATACAGAGAAAGAAAAATGTAACAATTACCCATAGTCCTGCTCCATAGATTAGCACTATTGACATTTTTGTTGTGTATCAAAATAACGTTTTTAAAAATCAAATTAAAAGTGATTTCTACAAAAAACTGTCTACTTGAAATAATACTAGTTTTTAGTGAGGAGAACACAGCATTTTAGAATAGGAGCTGTATGTACTTAAAATTTTTAAAAATTATTATACATGAAAATTGACTTTTTTGGTGTACTGTATGTACTTTTAATAAGAACCAACAAAAATATCCTTTCTCCCATCATCCAGTTTTAGCAGTTATCAGGCCATATCCAATCTTGTTTTATATGTAACCCCATGTCTCCCACTTGGTTACTTTGAAGTAAATCCCAGGCATTATATCAGCTCATCTGTAAATATATCAGTATGATCTTTAAAGTGTAAGGTCTCTTTAAAAACAAGCACACACTTTCTCCTAATAACCGGGGAGAAGGAGGTAGGGCCTGTCAGGTCTTCAGACAAGCTGGTGCCTGGACTGAGCTTGGGCGGGTTGTTGGCTGTCCATCTGAGGCGTGTGGGTCTGGCTGTGTAGGAGTACGAGTCTGACAGTCTTGGGGGCTCTGCGCCCTCAGGTTTTCATGCAATGTTGCGTCAGGAAACAGAAGTTTTGGGATGTTAAAAAAATTTAAAAAGATTCTTGAACATCAACTTTGGACACAAACTGGCTTTCGAGCCCCCTCCACCAGCAATTGTTCTTTGTTTCTTTCAACTCTAAAAATCCTTGAAAATGTAGCTAAGAAAAAGCATTGAAAAATTATTTTATAACTGCCTTAATCTTATTTGAATGAAACAGTGTATGAACTGATTATCAGTGATTGAAATTATACTAATTCATTAAAAGTATACTTTTTATATGAAACTCTTTTAGAAAAGTATTATTTTCTGTAATTATGTTTATTTATTTTACCAGTAGTTCTAGTATAGTTGGAGCTGAATGTTTTCTTAACTGAATTTTTCTTTCCTGAACTATTTATTGTTTATGTTTTAATTTTGAACTGTTTATCTTTCTTATTTCTTGTAGTGTCTGCCGATAATTTTGGATAACAAATTAAGCCACCCATTATTAGAACAGCTTTTGCCAGCACTAAAATACAGTCTCCATGACAATTCAGAAAAAGTGAGAGTGGCTTTTGTTGATATGCTGCTGAAAATTAAAGCAGTGAGGGCTGCTAAGGTAGAGTAAATAGGATTTTCCTTATTTAAGACATGAAATAAATAAGTACATTTGTTTTTATCAACAAAAAGACAAAGCAGTTCTAATTCCAAGAGTTTTAGTAATCACGTTTTAAGCTAATTGATGTCTGGTATATCCTACCAATTGTTTATGTCATAAGATTTTATTTGGTTTGTAATTTTCATTGAAGTTTCTAGAAATATCAACGTGTATTTTCTTTTTGAAAGATATTAATGTAAGCAGCCCCCACCTTAAATTATATTTTTATCATATGCATGGAAGTTTTTGTTGAAATATTTAAATACTTGGCACATAGGAAGCACTTAAATATTACTCGGAAAAATGTTGAATATGAAATTCCTCCTACCCCCACATTTTACAGAAGGAAGCAAGGAGATACTTGTTTTATCATAATGTAGATTTTGGCATGGTATAAACTATTGAAGTGAGAATGTTCTTCTTTAACTCTCGTTCTATTCAGCTTTTGGCTAAAAATGTTAGTTATGAAGTTCTTAACTTCATTATTATTTGGTATTATTATTTGTGAGCTTTCTTCCTCCACACAATAGTTCTCTGAAATTTACTTTAAAATGCTGTTTTGTCACGGCACAGGATTTGGGAACAACCTGAGAGTCCATCAGTATAGGGTCAGCCACACTGACCTGTGGTGAGTTCATGCAATGAGATAATGCTATGTTACCGTGAAAGGGAATGAGCTTACGTGGAAATATCACTAACGTGTAAGAGTAAAAGCTAGTGTAGAAGTGTGTGTAATGTGCTGCCAGCTGCGTAAAATGGGGAACATGCATATGTATTTGCTCATATACCCATAAAATATCCCTGAAAGAAAACAAGGAATTAATAACAGTTGCTTGAGTGAGGGGGATTGCATATCTAGGGATGGGGTCCTGGGGAGGCCTTATCACTGCGTAGGAGATGTATTGTTTTACGCTTTTTGAATTTCAAACTGGAATTTTTTTTTATGTCAAAACAACCCCACAAAAACAAAGAATATTTTGTGTGACTTACGTAGTAGGAATACACCCATGTCATACCTTGGTACTTTTGTTGAAAATCAGTTGGTTCTGTTTGTGGTCTGTTCTGGACTCTGTTCTGTCCCATTGATCTGTTTGTCCACTCTTAGCAAGGCCGCACTGCCTCGATTGCTGCAGCTTTCCAGGAAGTCTTGTAGTGAGTCCTCCAGTGTTGTTGCTCTTCTTTCGGAATTCTTTGGCTATTTTAGGTCCTTGGTATTTACATATAAATTTTAGAATAGGCATGTCAATTTCAACAAAAAAACCAGCCGCAATTTTGATTGCATTTGTTATAAAAGCTTATTAAAACTATAGTTCTGAATCTGAAAGGGAAAATTTTGGCTTAGTATTGCGTTTGAAGTTAAATCTGTTTGCAAAGGGTTATTGAGGTAATGGCTGGTGAGGAAACCGAGAGAGCCATTGTTTTCAGTTTATTGATGAGTCTACCCAAGAGAATGGGAGAGACCACGTAAGACAGGAACAAAAGGTCTGGATTTTGGGGGACTAGCAAGAGCAGAGAAAGTGAGGTGTTTCTTTTATCTTAATCCTTAGCTCTGCAAAAACAAGGCAGAGAGTGATTGAGCTGTGAGATCTTTGGAAGGTTTGTTATGGGCACACAAGCTAATTCTTCTTGCAAATCAAGGTCAAGATTGACAGGCACATGGAGAGGCAGCTAATGGGAAGTGGGGGTGGCTGATCATCCACTAGGTTGGAATGACCGGGGCAGTGTGCTGCTAGGCTGTCAGACGCTGGCGTGCTGCGTTATTCATGGACACATTTGCACAGTCATGGTCTGCTGCAGATAGCTTTAGAAGGAATGAGAATTGCCCTTTCGTTTTATTTCCTTTATAAGCCGTGGTAGGGCTGAGCTCAGAGGCGCCGCGAGCCACACCTTAGTCTCAAAGGCCCTGGGCAGCATGACTGACACATGGTAGATAATAAAAGCTAATTAAATAAAATTATCTTGTATGGCCAAGGAGCAGTTACCAACTTAGTTAATTAGGCTTCTGTTTATGTTTTTCATTGTCAGTGCTAATAATTTCAAGTTGTTTACCGTTTGTTTAGAAATTCTACGTTTCTCGAGTTGTATATCTGAGATTTAGGCTAAATCAACAGTTACTAATATTGAAACTGCTTTGTTAAAAAAACAACCTTTGGGTTTATTAATAGGCAGTTCTTCTTAACATTAGAAGTGAAACACCAGTTACAGTTATTACGTTCTTGTCTGTTGTAGATCTCAACCTGTAATATGTTTGAGTAAAATAAAACCTCACATAATTGAAACAAAACAAATCAGAATCCTGAACTAATCAGAATTGTTCTGCATTTTATTTTAGAAAAGTGATTCAGCGCAAAAGAAGCTAATATGAGGAGTTTCTGGAAAGGCAGACTTGCAGGGCATGTTAGTTGTGAGAACGCTGCTGGAACCTTGGCCTTTGGTGAAAGAGGGCTAGTTCCCATTCAAGATGGTCTGGTCTCCATGACGGCCCAGGAGCTAATCTTTTTTAAATGAAACGAGACAGACCGTGGAAAACCTGTTTGAAGTACGGCCTACCTGCTCAGGCCGTTGTGCTGTGACTTAAGGTGTTTCTCGAGTGTATTCATTCAGCCAGGTTTGAACTCAGGTCTTGAGGCTTGGAGAGCTCACCTGGGTTCTCAAGCAGAGGGTTTTCCGCTCTCCTCGTTTTCCCTCTGCAGATCTGTCTGTTGCTGTGCTTTTGCTCGTTCTGGGGTCGACCTTCAGCTAATGGCGTGGTTGTCGTGGCCCACCACAAGTTCTTACTGCGGCTTCCTGCTACTGACCAGCACACGCTTGGGAGATGAGTGATGAGACTGCTGAGGGTACTGCCGCCCAGAGGGGCTGAATTCAAGGGCTTGGGAATCTGGAGATGTTGGCCCTGCCCCTTCACATGTCTGCTTCAGTGCCCACTGCACACCTCTGTCATCTGCCTTTCTGTGCTGTTGAAGGCAGCAGCAGAGTGGGTAAATGGTGAATCCGTTCGTTGGTTTGTGTTGAGTCACTCTGAGCCTCAGTTTCTTACCTATAAAGGGGACACTAATATCTACTTGGGGATTGTTGTGAAGTTACAATAAATAGTAATTTATTGATGCACTGAAGTGTTTTGGGAAATGTTTGTTGCTGGCATCATTGCCCACAAGTGTGCTAGTGTGCTGTTCAGGGTTACACCCTGCTGCACTCACACTCAATACTTGTAGCCCATCTGGACTGGCATAGGTGGCAGAAAGGGACCAGGGCAGAGGAGAGAGGAGAGGTGAGAGAAGGTGTTACACCTGTCAGATTGTGAATACTTTTATTTATCTCTTTCTCTTAAACCTTGAGAGCACTACCTCCAACTCGAGTAGGTCTCTAATTACTTAGTTTCTAAGCCTGGCTCCCTCAGTGCTGGAGTTAGTTGGCAGCAGGTTCTCTTCCACGAAGCTGCCTGCCTCTCATGGGGTGAGGGCAAGAGCTGGGCCCACTGCTCTCCCCTCTCCCTGTGGCTTGCTTTTGGAAGCACTGGGCGTCGTTTGCCTCCCCAGCACTAGAGTGTGAGTACAAGAGTTTGGTGTGGGATTTGGGGTTAGTTATTGTCTTTACTCCAGTAACTTTTTCAGAAACCAAGAGGAGTCTGAGTGGAAGTGTCCTGGGAGCATTTCAGGGGGACATAATCAGTAGTGTCAGGTGCTCAAAGATTTCCTCTAAGGTGAGGGCATGAATTTGTGCATCTGAATTTGCAATAAAAGGTCACTATGACCTTGGTAAGAACAATTTCAGTGAGGGTAGAAACTGGATGAGTGTGGGTTGAGGTTTAAGTGGGAGTGAGAGAGTGAAGCTCGGGGTATAGGCAGGTCACTGAGGTGAGCAGTGAAGGTAGGAGCTGGAAGGAGACAGGAAACACATTCTAGTTTTGTGTGTGCATATTTTGTTTTAAGGGTTGGAAAGATATGAAAATACTTAAATACTGGTAAGAAAGATCCGATTGAAAATACTGGAAAGAGGGAATGATCATTAGAGCTAGGTCCTTGAGAAAAATACATGTCAGTGGTTTTATCTCCAGTATACACACGAGGAAACTATTTCGAGTGTAAGTATTTGCACATGATTACCAGCAGATAAGTGACTGAGACAGGATTTGAACATTTCACCATTAAAATCTATTTTCTTTCTGTTACTCTATGATATTTTTCTCTTCTCTTGAATTTCTTGCTTAGAAGTTTGGCCCTTCTCTGTAGGCGGTGGACAACGTTGATGCTTTTGAGCAGGGGGCATAGGGCAGTTCTGATCTGTGCAGTTAATGTGGCAGCAGCTGTGAGAGGGGCTGGAGGAGGCCATGGTGGTCATCCAGGCAAGCCAGCCCTGGAGAGCGGGGGAGGGTGTGCCACTGCAGAGCGATGGACTGGGCAGCCTGGGGTGTTCTTGAGTGGTGCCTCTCTGTCTCTGAGGTAGGAAATGGGGTGTCCACTAGCTTTCTGTGTCAAAACTGTTGTAAAATTTTTCACTTTTCACATTAATGGGCCAAAAGTCATGGTCTTGTAGGAAATTTCAAAATTATTAGACTGATAATCATAGCTATCATTAGAGAGTTTACTATACATCAAGCATGGTACTAATTAATTATAATTAAATAATTAACCCTCCCAACAACCTTATACTTATGTACTGTCAGTGCTTTTTACTTTTTTATTTTTTTTGATGTTCAGAATATTTTCCTTTTTTCTTTTTTTTGTTTTAATTATTTTTTTATTGCAGTAACATTGGTTTTTAATGTCAGTGCTTTTTAAAATATGGATTTATTAATTCTAATTTCTCTACAGAAGAGTCTCAGATTCTGGTATAATCATTTGAAATGAATTTTCTTGAATATAAAAATTAGTTCCTTTTTGATTTTACTCTGAAAATTTTGCTTAAAATCTTTTCAAGATTACAGTGACAATTGATAGTTTCCTTCTACATATATGCTTTATATATAGTTTTGGAAAATATGCCCCATGGAGCATATTTTGGTTCGTCTGGAATCGGATTCCCAGCCTGTGTCTCGGCGCCTAGTGAGCCTCATCTTTAACTCTTTCCTGCCTGTGAACCAGCCCGAGGAGGTGTGGTGTGAGCGCTGTGTCACACTGGTCCAGATGAACCATGCAGCCGCCAGGAAGTTCTATCAGCATGCCCACGAGCATACCGCCTGCACGAACATAGGTACTGAATGCTGCCACTTCTAGTGCTTAAGTCTTCTCCCTAAAGCATAATGTTACACAGGCTCAGTGTTTGTCTTTTTTTTTTGGTGAGGAAGATTCACCGTGAGCTAACATTTGTGACCAATCTTCCTCTATTTTGTATGTGAGCCGCTGCCACAGCATGGCTACTGAGGAGTGGTGTACGTCCGTGCCCAGGAACCGAACCCAGGCAACCAAAGTGGAGTGCTCCGAACTTAACCACTATGCCACTAGGGCTGGCCCTCAGTGTTTGTCTTTGTTTTTTTCTTTTTTTGGTGAGGAAGATTAGCCCTGGCCTAACATCCGTGCCAGTCTTTCTCTACTTTATGTGTGGGATGCCTGCTGCAGTATGGCTTGATAAGTGGTGCGTAGGTCTGTGCCCAGGATCTGAACCTGTGAACCCCGGGCCGCCGAAGCGGAGCACACAAACTTAACTGCTACACCACCAGGCCAACCCCTCAGTGTTTGTCATTTTAATAAGCTTCATGCTTTAATGCATTTCTTAATGATTCCCCTTAAAATAATACTTTTAATTATTTGGGATTATAATTTTACTGTTGGAAAGATAATTTTGTTGGAGAAACATGTACATTATTTTTATCTTAAACATTTTAGCAAAGCTGATTCATGTGATTCGCCATTGCTTAAATGCCTGCATACGGAGGGCAATAAGAGAGCAGCAAGAGGACCACGCAGAGAGGGAGAAGGAGAAGGAGAACGTGAGCGTAAGTGGAACACGCCCTGCGCCCAGCGGCGTGACCGTATTACCTGATGGAGATGAGGCAGGCGCTTCTACCTCATTGCTTAGAAAAGGCAGAGCATTAAATCAAAGGCATCGTTTCCATGGAATGTATGTTAGGAATATTTTTATTTTCCGTTTGTGTCTTTAGTACTGATACTTCAACTAATTATTTTGGAAGATAAATAATATTTTTGGGAGAATTGCTGTGTATTTTTTGTAGTTCATTGTGAAGGTTGGGTAGGATTTAATACAGAGGAAAGTTTAGTATTGGTAGCACCCTGTCTCAAATTTTCTTTGCCTGAAGCTTCTCTTTATATTTTAATTCAACCTGGGGGTAGCATACCTGGATTGGATTTTGGACGCTACTGTGTTTTATAGTTAGGTGGGTGGTGGCGCTCTTAAGGATTTACTCATAGCCACTGCCATAGGGTTCTACTGGAAACATCTTGGGTTTGAATTTCTGGAAATGAGCTTTATTTAGAATTATCTTTTAAAAAGTAATTTATCAAAGGAACTGTTCAGCTGCTATTTCTTCAGAATCCACAGTGACCAATTACATCATAAGAAAAGAACGTTTAAGGCTTAGACACTTACTACTTATAAGCAGTATCTTAAGCTTATAAATAAATTTGCATGTGTATGTCCATTGAAGATAAAATTTTGGGGTAGTTTTGTAGTACCCAACGAGATTCAGAAACTGGCCTTTAAAAAAAAGAAAGTCACAGAAGACAGTTTACCCTTTTGCTGAAACGTGGTTCCGCATGTTGGCTACAAGGCGAGGTCCTTGTGTTGGTCTGATCTCGCCTCACTCCCCATCCTGTGTGCCACCACCTCTGACACAGGCTTGCTTCCTAGGTGAGGCTGATGTGTTTTCTCAGAGCTGAAGTTGTGCTTTGCTTGTTCATTGGTCTCACGCCAGCCTGCCTGCACGTGAGGAGGACAGTGCTGATCACAGTTACCCCCCAGATGCTCCCATTGCACATGTGCCCGTGGACTCACACCTAGTGGGCCACCACTCCCCCAGCTCAGCCCCTGTTTAAACATTTCCTTTTCTGTCTGTCCCAGTAAGGGAAAGATGTGGAATTAGGACAGAAAAGAGTGTAGAAGAGTGAGTCTGGCTTTTATCTTAACAGCTGACTCTGACTAGTGGTTTCATCAGCTCTAGGCCTTTTCAGCCTGGATTTGGGAAATCTTCATCTGAGAGCATTCAGAGTTGCTTTTGCTTTTAGTTTTGGTGGAATTTGAGTTCCTCTCTTCAGAGTTTTTCCCTCTGTATGTGGATTGGATGGGCAGAAATTTTCAGGAAAGTCATCCCATTGCTGCTAATACATCTTCAGAACCTCAGCTGGAGATGCCAGCATGGTGACCTCAGTCCAGGACACAGGGCATGTGGGGAGCTGCAGCGTGCGAAGTAGACGAGCAGTGGGCAGTGAGCTGAAAGTCCTGTGTGAAGCAGTAGGCATAGATCTGTGTTTGCCACTCTTGCAAATTCGTACTGATGGTGGAAGTGGTTTTGCAAAAGAGCAAAACATATTTTGTCACGTAACAGTTGAGAGACTATTACACTTTTTAAATATTGAAGGAACCCTCCACTTCCATTTTTAAAAACCTAGATGTTATTGAGAAAGCTTGTATTTTATAACATTTTATGTCAATATCTGTACCATTAGAAAAGACAAGGGTTTAGAAATATGTAGCTCCATTGTAACCTATGCTAGAAAAGAAATACAATATGTCATATAGATATTCTTAAAATTAGAATTAAATTCTTAAAATAAGAACTAGATTAGAATCTAATTCTTAAAATTAGAATATCTGTATGGCTAAAAGCAACAATTTTTGAAGTTGATCTTTTACTTTTTCTCATTGCTATCTACTAAAATCAAAGATAGTCTCTGCCAAAGTAAAAAGATGGCTTCCTCTTTAATGAGATCTTACTTAGGAACTTAGCACATTTTTTGTGAAGAAGGAGAAGCAGTGGCTTTCTCATGAAACTTTAGTGATAGGGCTGCTATGCTAAACATTGGAAAGGTAAAAAGTAAAATTAAATACAGAATGAAATCCTGTCAATCTTATTTGTATCATTCTTATAGTAGTTTCCAAGCCTTTGGTAGTTTCATTGCTTTTTAAATTTGACTGGCCAAAACTCATTCAAAGTATTAAATGCCTATTAAAAAATCTAACTTTATACAGAAACTACTTTTGCCTTTTCTGTGTACCCTCAGTAATCAAGTTTATTTTCTCCCCAGTATCTTTTTCCATTAAATTTGAGTAGATAGCACAGAAATACCAACGCCTGAAATGAACCATCCTTGCATTTCAAGGTTGTCCCCTTTCAGGGAGTTGTCTGTATTGGTATTTGCAAGTTATCAGACTGTCTTTGTTACAGTCACACCACAGGGCTCGTTAGCAGACCCCGTCAGTGTGGATCTGCGCCAGTCACATTAAAGTGCAGCCTGAAGTGATGGCAGGGTGGGCCTCTAGCTCTAGAGAAGAAGAAGAGTTTATGAGAGTACATTTGTGGTTTAAACCGAATATGCAGAACATAGCAGTGATTACTGTTCCCTGCCACCATAAGTGTGGGAAATGTAAATAGGTATATTTTAAAACAAACTAAAGAAGCCCATGATTGAGTGGGAGTTGATCATCATCAGTCGTTACAGAGTCTCGGGGGTGGTACCTAATGGGCCTGTAGAATGGAGGTGGCTGGCCAGAGATACATCCAGTGTGATCTGATGGGTGGAATTGTAGCTGAGTTTCAATAGTAATCACATTTAAATAAATTAGGTTTTAGATTTTCCTAATTTGGCTTCCCCCTCCACCCACTAGTCTGTTCACATTGAGGTTTGTGGTGAAAAGTGACATCTTTTAACAAATCAGAAGATATAGTAAAAGAAAGAGCATGCTTTTTACTACTGCATGTCCCTAGATGAAGAGAGTAGTTTATACATGTTGATTTTTAGAGGATTTTTAATTCATATAAACTGTTTATTGAAAGGATATAGGGTTAATTTAGAATTTATTTCTTGGGTGGGTTTTAAAAACAGCTTTACCTCTAATAGAAATTCTCAAATAGAGAATAAAGTCATTTTACGATATGAAAAGAGACTTGATATCCTTTACATTTCTGCTTTAGGTCTGGAATTCTGAGTTGTGCTTTTAAAGATAGTGCTATCTTAATAGTTGTTATGATTTGATTCTTTCACAATAAAATTATTTGTGTCTCAGGTTCTGGACAAAACACTGTCAGTAAGCGATGTTGCATCCATGGCGGGTTTATTAGAGATCGTTGTGATTCTCTGGAAAAGTATTCACAGAAGTATGGAAAATAATAAAGAGGCCAGAGTTTACACCATTAACAAGTTTGCTTCTGTGCTCCCTGAGTACCTGGAAGTGTTTAAGGTAAGATTGGGCACACTTGTCAGCAGCGTATTGAGGTGAAACTTGAGCAGAATGAGCAGACGTGCCAGCACATGTACCTCTCTGGACCTTGCTCCTCATCTCTAATGTGAGCAGGCTGAGCCAGCACTTACGCTGCCGGACGGTTGGCCTCTCGCCCTTCTGAGGATGGAGGCCTCGTCTCGTGTCTTTCGGCTTCCTATCCCAGCACCCAGAGAAGTGTTGGGTGAACACTCAGGTTTTCCGTCTCTAATAGTCTGAGACGATTGTAGAATCCAGTTTGATTTGCTGGGAATTGAGAAAGAGGAGTTTGTGGACATGAAGATACAGTAGCACCTAAGTTTTGTGGGCATTTTTAGGCATTTGACAGCATACTGTAAGCAAATATGTTTCTGAAGTATTTGAGTTGTGTCTCAGTTATCAGGGCAAACAGAACCATATGTGTGACTTCTATTTGGTTGAAGGAAACCTTCTCATTCCTTGACTTTTTACGTCTGAAGGAAATTCATATTTCAGAAACAAAAATAAAGCTAATAGCTAAAAATACAAATTTATTCTCAATTATAAAGAAAGCATAGTTTAAATATAGAAATATCATAGGTCTTATGAATCACCTTTCTCTTGGTAAATTTTACTCTTGGCTTTTCTGCAAATGCTCATGTGCCCTTGGACCTCTTAGCTATTCTTAGCTGTGTTGCTGTGACTGTCACATCTCTGAGCTTCATGCTGCCTCTGAGTGAAGGTAAATCTAAGCTGCCGAAGTTGCTAGTACATTCAAAAGCTCAAATAATTACATTGAGCTGAGAAATCAGCAGTATCTCAAAAATCTCAGAAGATAAACACGGAAGCCCATAGGACACGGGATGAGATGACAAATGAGCAATGTGGCCTGGGGGTATCTAGGAACCCAAGGAAGGCAGTTAAGTAATTCAGTTAATTCCAAATGATTCTGGCAGGAGAGCTTCTCTACCTCAGTAGGTGAGAGAATATTCTGGTCATCCTGTAAGTGAATAAACAATCTATAATCCACACGTAGAGTGGAATCAGTAGTAATTATCACTGTACTTTTGTAACATTAAGAAAATATTTTTTTTTTGTTGGGAGTTGGGGGTAAGGTGAGTTTATTCTTACTGAATGCAGATTAATTACAGATCAAATTTTGATGTTGCTCCTATTTCTGTTTCATGTATATTTTCAGGAAAATTGTTAATTTTCTTTTAGGAGTCGTCATCCCTCATTCTCCCAACCAACCAAGCATATTTTTTGTTACGTGTTCTTGATTGAGTCTGGTCTGTGGTTTGCTGTATTGTTGCCTGGTATGCAGTAGGTGCTTAATAAATATTTGGACAAATTAATATGTCACACAAAGTAGTAAAATGTCATATAAAACTTTGAGAATACTTATCAAATGTGAAGTTTACGAGTAGGTGTAAGTTTTCCTGTTGAACACTGAAAGGATTGCTCTAGTTCCTATTGAGCAACTTTGAAAGCAGATTATTAGGAAGCTGTATGGAGAGGCTTTCAAAATGTCATCGTGTTTAAATACCCTTTTGTTTTGTTTTCCTTTTTATGCTTGTAGGATGATCGGTGTAAGATCCCTTTGTTTATGCTGATGTCCTTTATGCCTGCTTCTGCTGTGCCTGCATTCAGGTATTCTCTCTGTTTTTCAGGACAGTAGTGAAGTGGGAATCCTACTGTTGTTGTGCTTGGTTGTTAATCTAACATTCAGCAGACTGTCACACTTGAGTTCCAAGTTCATAGTTACTTCTTCCCTCCTGCCTCCCTCTCCCTGTGGCAGGGAAAATAGCAGGATGCATTTTCCAGTGGGCTCTGGAGTGCTAAGGAATTGTAGGAAGAGGCTACGTGGAACTAAAACGGTCACTCAGCTTTAAAGTCTGGGGGTACTTTTAAAGCCTGGCGTGATAAGATTCTAGAGCTGTGCTGCTCTCCACCACGGAGCTATTGGCCACATGTGGCTCTGATGCTTGGAACGTGGCTGTCTGGGTTGAGATGTGCTGTGAGTGCAAAACGCACGCATACTTGGAGACTTGGTGTGCAAAAAGAATGTAAAATATCTCGTTAGTAGTTTTCTATATCGATTACATCTTAAAACCATATTGAGGATAGATTGGGTTAAATAAGATATATTATTGAAATTAATTTTACCTGTTTCTCTTTACTTTTTTAAATGTGGCTACTAGAAAATTTTAAATGACTTAAGTGGTCTGCTTTTGTAGCTTACATTGTGTGTTTTATTGGACGGTGTTGCTCTGGAGTGTTGGTTATCATCTCAGTAAAAATTACTTATTTTTATTCATACTTATGAAAAAATGGATGTTTTGATGCTAAACAAAAATTATTTCTCCAAAATTAGAAATCTTTGCTCTAGAGTCTGACAGAGGTGACACAGACATGAAAGGCTGGGGGTTTTATGTGACTGGTGTGACCTTGATAACCTAGCACCTGTATCTGGACCATGTTGAGTTTAGTGTTCCTAAAGCTGCTTCCAAATTCAGTATTTTGTATTGGAACTTGTCCCCTGTAGTAATTGTGAGAAAACAATATATTTATTCCACAGCAGAGAATGTCCACGAGTTCCTGTGTTAGGAAGGGCTTATGTACCCGCAGCTTTTGTCTCCTTTATTTTCCTCACCTTTTAGAAAAGTGGGAAATTGTTATTGAAGTATGAGATTTGATTTTATATATTTGACATTTTCAGCTGTGGTGTGATTTCCACGTTAAGAAACCAAGAGGAAGGAGCGGCAGACAAGAGCTACTGTACTTTGTTGGACTGTCTCTGCTCCTGGGGGCAAGTGGGACACGTTCTGGAACTCACTTGTGACTGGCTGCCAGACGAGCAGTCCCAGAGCAAGGTATGCTTGTGTCACGTTTCTTTAAAGTTTGCTGAATGTGGGTAACTAGCAATTACCTGCTTTCCTGGAAACATATGTTTTAATTATCAGTTTATTGCTCTCTATTCTTTCAGAGTAACTCAGCATCTAAACGTAAAGTGCAAATCCATGATACATGCCCAATAAAACCTGAATTGGCTTTGGTTTACATAGAGTATCTGCTGACCCATCCAAAGAATCGAGAGTGCCTGCTCTCTGCTCCCCAGAAGAAACTTAACAATCTTTTGAAAGCACTTGAAACATCAAAGGTAACTTTATAGAACAGATACAGGCACCATGAAAGTTGAGTGATTCCATGTAGTAGTAGGAGTGATAAAGTAAGATTAAATTTTTCATATTTATAGTATAAATTTTTCCAGCTGAGAAGGAGTTGAGTGTTATCTGGCCCCCTCCTTCAGTGTGCAGGCGAGGACATGAGAATCAGGTGACTAACTGGGTGGCAAGATGGGGACTCAGTCACAATTTCCAGGCCTTTTGGCCAAGTAGTGTTCAGAGTCCAGTGTTTTGTCAAGGCTCATTCCTGTGGATAACGCTGTTTCTCTGAACACCCCGTCTGTAGGAGACTTCATGTCACCCTCAAGCTCTCTCGCCCTGCTTCTACCCATCGATGTGGGACTACTGGCTTCCCCTCAGAGTCCTTGGCAGGCTTCTCTAGGAATCTGTGGAGAGTGTGTCCTGTGAATTCACCATTTTTCTCCTCTCCTTCCTGGCTCTTTGGCCATGTCCTCCAGGGCCAGGCCTCAGAAACAGCCTCTGTTACTGCTGCTGAGTTTGGTTGTGCCAGAGGCAGAGCCTCCTCTGCACCAGCGCCAGGCATTGGATGGGAGGCAGGGGAGGTCTGAAGAATAAGGAGGTGCACAGCGTCCAGGGGAGGAGTTGGTGAGGGCTGATGGCAAGCCCAGTATCTGGCCGTACGCTGTCTGAAACCCATCCAGTGGCTCATGGGTAGGCAGCGGTAGGATTTTGCCGGTGGACTAAGCTGGGCACCGGCTGCACTGGTGTAGAAAGTAGGGCTGCCTGTGGGCTCTGGGAAGATGGGGGTGTATTCCCCAGCAGACTTTCCTATCAGGGGCACAAATGGTGTTACCACCTATTAAATGCTGGTGGGACCCTCTCCCCTCCATTGTGACAACCACACACCTACTTCCACACATTTCCAAACACTAGGCACTGCTCCTGTTAGGGTACGAGGTTAGGAAGTCGTAGGCAAGCGGGAGGTTCTCACCCTGCCTGAGTGGTAAGGGAATTGTTCCTGGGAGGAGCTGCTTTTCTCTCTCTGTGTCTGTTGGTCTGTCCTGACAGCACTGTGTCTTTGCAGGCCTAGCTTCTCACTCCCAGCAGGTCAGAATTTACCCCAGGGGCAAAGGCTTTAACATGCTCCATCCTGATGGCTCCTTTAGCAATAACTTAAAAGTTATTTTCTTGTCCCTTAATGGGGAGGATCTGCAGTGGGGAGAGGAAGGGAAGACACTGCAGACTTCTAGGAAAGCTTTGCTATGTTATTAAACACCTCTGCTGCTCCATGTATCCCTCTTGTGGCGCAGCTGTGTGTCACCTGCTTCTGAGCACCCTTGCCATACACAGTGTGGCGCTGACTTATCAGTTGGAACGTGGCCCACAGATTTTTTTATTTCACAGGTGGATCTAGAATCAATTTTGCAGTTGCCTGGTGGGAAACCTCACACCTTTAATGAAGCAACTGCCCTTCGAGCCTTCAGCCTCTATTGTCGGTTGAGTATTCATCTTCAGCACAAGGTGTGTCCGTCTCTGGCTCTGTATGAGAATAAAAAGCATGTTGGCAAAGCTAGTCCAGTACTAATTTATCTCTCTCTTGTTGTTGGACAGTTCTGCTCAGAAGGAAAAGTTTACCTGTCCACTTTGGAAGACACTGGGTTTTGGTTAGAAAGCAAAGTTTTATCTTTTATCCAAGATCAAGAAGAAGAATATCTGAAGCTTCATAGGGTCGTTTATCAGCAAATTATCCAGGTTAGCAGTCTTAAGACACAGAGACTTTTTTCTTTACCAAGTTTGTGATGTGCTTCAAGATTTTATTTTCTGTTTTAAAGTTGTAACTTTAGACATAGTGTTGCTCTTCTTAAATACTTATAGTGGCGTTTAAATATCTGTAGTTTATCTTTTCACAAAGCATAAACTCTGCATAATTTTAGTGTAATTTTACACATTGCATGTACTAGGTGTTCAGTAATGTTTATGGAATTACATAAAATGTATTTCTAGATTTCTTAGCAAAATAAAAATTAGAATTCATGTATCTTTGTGGGACTCCTTTATAAAACATCTTTGTAAATATCTGCTTTGTGAGATAAGTAGTAGGACATCAGATATGAGAGGCTTTGTAAGGCTGGATTTACTCCCTTTTTTTTCCTTTCTGCGGTCTTTGTTGGTAAATCATTTCAGCACATCTGTCTCTTACAGACCTACCTGACTGTGTGTAAGGACGTTGTTATGGTCGGCCTTGGCGATTGTAAGTTTCAGATACAACTTTTACAGTGGAGTCTTGGAATCATGCAAACAGGTATACTTCATTCATTAAAGGGCTAGTTTAGTGCAGTTAATAATCAAAACCAGTCCCTCTCTCCCTCCCTTACTTTGCTGGTCAGGACTTTCGCTTTTAAGTGATAAATATGTAACGCAAGCTAGCTTATACCAAAAAAAGAGTTTACAGGCTGATGCAGCCAGGAAGTTCAAAGGTGTTTCTGGCATCAGATGTGACTAAGCCCAGAGTTTCTGACAAGGGCCTTGGGCTTCTTCTCACTTTGATTTGCTTGATTGTCAGGTGACTTTGCCCTCTGGTTGGCTAGTGCAGTGGCAGCCCTGAGCCTGTCTGCTGCTCCTCTCTGGCATCTGTATGGCAAAGCTCACAGAAGAGTTCTCGTTGTCTGCTCTGGCCACTGGGGGGCTATGAGTCAGGGGTTGTTTAATGCCCCCCTGGAACCCTTAGAAGTTGCTGTTACCTCAAGGACAGGGGTGACAGTGTAACCCCTGGTAGCTAATACTGTGGTGCTCACGCTTGCTGCATACTAGGTACTAAGTTAAATGTGTTCAGTGAGTGAGTGAGAAGTCTGCCTCCTTCTAGGTGGTCTGGGCAGGCCAGCTACTAGAGCCCTGGCTGAGTGATTATCTGGAGCATCCTCTCCATGGGTCCCAGAGCCGGATTCTTGCAGCCCCATCACATGATGGCAGGAGGAGTGAGGGTATGGTCCAGGATGTCTGCCTAAGAAGTAAACTGCTGGGCTATGACCCACAACCCCAGCCCTGCTGCCTCCCCAGGGTAGCTAAGTCACTGTATAGAACTGTTTCTAAATTGTTCTCTTCTAAATTGTTCTTACTAGACATCCTGATGCTATATGTGGTTCTGTCTGAGCTCTACAGAAACTTGAAAGTTTGATATTTAAATTTCTTTAAGCTTAGATATTTACTAGAAGAGATTGAAAATGATATAATTTAGCAAATTCAGTGTTAAATATTGAAAATTAGACTCAGTGAGTCTACAGTTAAGTTTGCAGTTAGTCATCTGGAGTCTTGTCCCGTAGTCTTAAGAATCGTCATGCAGATCCCAGAGGATTCTTGTCGGCAAACCCTGCAGTGTCTTTCTCTTCGTGCTTCTGCCACTGAGGTTGGTGCTTGCACTGCACTGGAGCTGGAGTACCCGCCACTCTGCTCTGCTGTTTCAAGTATACATTTCCTTACATTAATCTGTAGTTACAAGCAAGATTATACACTATTTGTTTAAAATATCCACAGTTAAAGACTAAATATTAAAACAAATATTATTTTGTTTTAAAGTCTAGCTTTTTTTTGGTTTAATCCTTTATAACTCTCTATTGTGAAAACAGCATTTTAAACTTAAGCTTAATGATTGAAACATTAAAAATGATTTCCATTTTTTTAAACTTCATTTATCATTTAGGAATTATTTTCCCCTAAGAACTGAATCTATTTTTAGTCTTTATAAAATTCATTTTCCAGGAAGCTAACTAGAATTTAGATCTCCGATGTAGCCAGTTTTATTATATAGAGATATCTGTTGCCCCAAAATAAGACCCCAAGCTATTGACTTTACTTTTGACCAAACTGAAGTGATCTTTGTACTTATACATTCCAACAATCAGGATTTCTCAGGAGAGAATCAACTGTGTGGTCATTCTTTGTAGTCCTGTCACAAATAGGATTATACTTAGCAATTTAGCTAGGTAGACCCAGAGTCTGCTGTTCACTGGACTTTTTGCTCTACTTGAAAGAGTCTTAATAAAACATTTTAATTTAAAAAGCCAGTCACATTTGTATTAATATTTAAGTATGGCATTTTGTGTCCTGAAGTGTGTATTCCAAAAGAGATGTCCTTGAATACCCAGCTGAGTCCCCACACATAACCCTAAAAATCTAACCTTAAAAATCTAAGCTCACAGAAATGCAGGTGTTTCTGCTCTTATGCAGTATGTGTGTTTCAAAGTCACCATGCATTCTGCAAAATCAGGCACTAAAAGTAAGAGGCTTGTGGGAAAGATGACTGGGGCAGATACTAAGTGACACTTAGTGACAGCACTAAGAAATGGTCATCCTAGCAAGAAGTAATCAGCACAATGAAAAAGGAAGGTTAAGTTTCTAATAAGATTTTTGACTTAAATGAAAAGGTAAAGGGAGATTGATGGAGACCGTGGCCACCCTCACAGAGCTGGAGAGATCTGGGCAGCAGGGACTTCCAGGGCAGTCTGAAGTCTGAGGGACTTCCAGGGCACTCTGAGCCAGAAGGAAGACTGGGTCCACGGGCTCAGACGCTGAGCTGGTTCTCTATGGCTGCTGCCCTGGGCTGGGCTAGTGAGCTTCTGCTCGTTTGCAGGCATGTGATGGCCTGAGATATTAACCTGCTGGGAAAATCCTGGCAGCCAGTGCGTCATCAGTGTTAGACTGGCATCACTCCCAGCCTGGCAATTACTTGTGAGCTGATTCACTCTCGGGAAGCAAGAACTTCCCAAGTCAGTGTCTTCTGTTTTACTTTCCTGTGAATTCTGATATCTCTTTAGTAGTCTATCGTATTTTACTTAACCACTATCTATATATATTTGATTATAAGGCACATACTGCTTGAAGATAATGAAATAACTTTGAATTAAAGTTTCCAACTTTTCAGATTTTTGTCAGTAATTAAAGGTACTAGTTAAGTGTGTGGTTCTCCCCCATGAACCACCACTGTGAGGATGGATGTAAGAGGACAGACACTCTTGTTTTCAAGGTCCTTTAATCTTCAGCACATCCACCTCCTCTGTGCTGTTCGTACTTGATCTAGAGAGCCCAGCATTCCCTTACTGACCTACATATGTGGAGAGTGTGTGTCCCTTTGCCTTCCTTTAGATAAAAGAGATAGTTTCTTGAAAGTTTCTATTATGGTTGCAAAGATTCTACAAACTTTTGTTGATTCTGGTAGTGCCATCGACCTTTTGAGGGGTAAACTCGACTGGAACATGTCCATTTATTTTACTTACTTTTAGCAGATAAATTTGGGTTTGAGGTTAGTTTCTTATCTCTGTCTCAAGTAGAGCTTACTATATCTTATTAATCTGTTTTATAAACTGAGGTGCTTTGAATACTATCTCCAGCTCCATTTCCTATGCAAGGTCATATGATTCCTTTCTAAGGTCAAAAAGGTCAGACCTCTTTCTCACCTAGATAATAATAATCTTTTAATGAGGAACATTATTTCTGTGCTTTTCCATATGACAAATTTTAAAAATATATATATGTGTATAGTTTATATAGTATATATTTTAAAATGTATGTACGAATCATGCAGCATGGTTCCTGCCCAGGAAGAATTTGCTGTCTAAATGGGGAGGCACTCACGCACACCTAAAGGTTAATCAGTGTTGGGCAGCCTGAGGGTCCAGAGTGCGATAAGAACACATGAGGGCGCTTACAAAGCTTACTGGAGGGCGAGACCCCAGGCTCTGTTTTTAGAATTCAACTCACAAACAAGATTGGATAGAAACAAAGATGGAAATTCAGAATCTTCAAGATGAATTGTAGGATTAGGCTCATACAACAGAAAACATTTTACCAAATTACCAACAGTAAAGGAGGTGATTTGGAAGAGAAGGACAACCCAGCAAACTACAAAGTATCAAGAGTTTAACAGAGTTGGCCTGTGAGATTCTTAAAGCTTTTTTGTGTGTGTGTGTGAGGAAGATTGGCCCTGAGCTAACATCTGTGCCAATCTTCCTCTAATTTATATGTGGTATGCTGCCACAGCATGGCTTGATGAGTGGTGGGTAGGTCCACGCCCAGGATCCAAACCTGCAAACCCCGGGCCACTGAAGCGGAGCACGTGAACTTAACTACTAGCCACCAGGCCAGCCCCTTTAATCATATTTTGAAAGCTCTTGGGCCATCTCTCTTAGACTTGTAATAGTAGAGCTGGTATTGATGTCACTATTACATAAGAAAATAAGACACGTTCTCTAATCCAGGTGCTCAAGGAACCACATAGTCCACGTGTGCAATGAGTACAGTTCTTAGTGACTGAGTCAAATATGCTGTTACTGTTACTGAAGGTATTGGTTTTATATTTAAATGGAGCAAGATTGATTGATTGATTATGTTAAAACTTATATTACTCTGACCGACCTGGTATTGGCTTACCAATAACAATCTCTTTTAAGTTACTATAAAATCCACGTATGTTAAGGGAAAAATGTGTATTAATTTCAACTAAATTGTGTGATTAGTTAACTCATTTTTCCATTTTTCTTTCTAGTGAAGGGATTCTTTTATGTTTCATTACTTCTTGGCATTCTGAAAGAGGTAACTGGAAGTACCTTGACGCAGAAAACAGATTCAGACAAAGAAGTTGCAACGCTGTTTGATATGGTCCAGAAGGTGTTTCAGAAAATGTTGGAATGTATGGCATGGAGCTTCAGAAAGCAGCCAGAAGAAGGCCTGCGGGTACTCATGCCTTCACAGGACGGGGTCGTTAGACGTTAGATGGACAGTTCTCCGTGATGGACGAGGGTGCATGAAAATGTGTCCACTCACTTGCAGGCTCAGTTAGCACTTGCTTGTGCCGTTGGCCTATTAGGTGAGGTGCAGCATGGTGTAGGAGAAAATTGCCAGGTGCCATCATTCAGGCGCTGCTTGCCAGCCTTCTGCATAGTGTGGCACACTCAGAGAGACAGTATTGTCTGCACTGGGCATGAGGCGAGGGAGGGCTAAGAGCCCACTTTTGACTTTCAGTCTTGGGACAGGTTTTCACGAGTTCAGGTCAACAGGCCAGCAGCGAGAGAGCTCATCTTCCTAGTGGGACAGGAAGCAGAGCACTAATTGCATTAGGCTTGTGAGTCCTCAATTGTTATTTCACAGAATTTTCCAAATAAAATATACTTTTGAGAATGCTAATTTTGATTATTTGTAAATGACAAAGACTTTCCCCAGGTGAAATGTTAATTTCCATCACAGGTTACCCTCCCATCACATATTAACCTTCTCCTAGTTGGAAGCAAGAGGTGAAGACCTGTAAGGGCCCATGGTTCCCTTTGCTGATTGAAAGCTAGTGTGAAGTGGGATACTAAGTAACCAAGTCAAGTAAAAAATATTGACTCATATGCCAGATTTGCTTTATTCATAAAAACATTGTCATCAGAGAAGGCCATTGTGTTTTCTAAGTAGTAGTTTAAAAATATGAATGAGCTATTCTTTTTTAATGAAGATTTTTAAAAATGCTTAAATAGCAAAGTTTATGAAATATTGAAAATTTCAATTTTATTCTGTTCTTAGCTGATGGAGGTAATTGAAGATTGTTGGCCACATTTTCACTAGTCTAGTTCATATTTGAGTTAATTTGAAATGTTTGTGATTTTGAATGCGTTGGTTCAAGTGTCTGTGATCTGTTTATCTAGTGTAATTTGTGCCAAAATCTTATTTTCTCATCAGATTTTTTAACATTGGCTGTGCAGCTTCATTCAGAACACATGGCCTCATAGTTGATGTCTTCTTTTAATGTCAGTGATATTTCTTCATCTTTTCTTTCTTTCCTCTTTATTAATATTATTGATACTTCTATTCGTGGGGATTTTTCTTTGCTTTTGGGGAAAGAATATTGTAAAGGTAATTCCCAGTGTGCTTCAGTCCTTTCTATCCTCTTCTAGCTGTGGTGTTGAAGAGATTTGAGTCTACAACAGAAAGGAAAGGAGTGGACACTGATAATGGGCAAATAATATTAGTGACTCCTGGACTCCTGGCGGGGTGCAATAGGAATACTCATTCTTAAAGTGCTTTTTTCAACCACTAAAAACGACTGATGTGTTTTCTTGTAGCTCCTTTATTCTGTTCAGACCCCTCTTCATGAATTTATAACCACCGTTCAGTCTTGGCACGTGGATACACCTGTTCACCGGGGCGTTCTTTCAACTCTGATTGCTGCGTCTGTGGTCGAGATAAGTCACCGACTACGAAAGGTGAATCTATTGATCCTGAAACTGTTGTGTCTCTTTCTGACTATACAAGATGCTGTTTTGTACTAGTAGCACATTTTTATGTCTTTTCAGTATTTTTTAAGAATGAAAGTTTAGTGGGTGGTCTCATTCCCAGAAGGTGGACCTCACAGTTTTACAGCTAGTTTGCGTTTTAGAGTCATGTGATAATTGGATAAATACATTAAGGATGTTATCATTCTTGATTAAAGCCAAACTAGTTCTTCCGTTGTGAACATTTCTTTTTGCCATATTTTAGAGATTTAAGTGAGTTGATACATTTCTTAAGATTCCTCTCTCCTGACAAAGGTGAAAGCAGTCGTGGTCAGTGGTGAGCAGGATGAAGACTGCTCTTGGACTGCATCTTTGGGATACAGTCAATTACACTGCATAATGACATTTTGGTCAGTGACTGGCCCATATGTGACGATGGTCCCATAAGATTAATACCATATAGCCTAGGTGTGTAGTAGGCTACACCGTCTAGGTTTGTGTAAGTACACTCAGTGATGTTTGCACAACCACGAAGTCACCTAACAGCATTTCTCAGAATGTATCCCTGTCATGAATACAGCATGACTGTATTCATGTCTCTTTGACTGCCTTCTACAGCATAACCCTTTCTTTTCACTTCTAAGCATGGGAAATTTGAATTTCTGATATCAGTTTAAATAGATTATTTATTTAGTCTTACTCTATAAAGGACTAGCTCTTTTCTTAGCAGTAGCATATTTTATATGATAAGCCTACTTGGTTAAAGACCGACGCAATCAGGATGATAATTCACATCAGAACAAGAAGTGCTGTTTGCCCATATGGAATCCTCAAGGTATTGAGCCAGGGCGTGGAATAGTGATTTAAGAAGATAGTAAAAATAATGATGGGTTTTCTCAGTATGAAAAGATGACATCTGACATGGACAATCATTGAATTATACAAATGTGTATATATATATAAGTTATATAAATTTTGTATTATAACATCATGAATATAAAAAAAGTTAACTAAATTCTAAAGCATTAATAGAATTTAAGGCCCTCCTTAAAGCTTGATAGGAGCTTTTGGTTTTGGAAAGTAATTTCTAGTAATTACTAGAAATTTCTACATAGAATGAGAACTAGAACTTATTTACTCCTGTGAGCTGTATAGGTAACAACTATAAATAAATCAGTTAATGCCTGTGGGCAAAGCTGGCCCACCATCAGTTTTGTAAATGAAGTTATGTTGGAGCACAGCCACACCCATTCATTTGCATATTTTCTCTCTTTTTTTGAGGAAGATTTGCCCTGAGCTTAACATCTGTTGCCAATTTTCCTCTTTTTGCTGAGGAAGATTCATCCTGAGCTAACATCTGTGCCAATCTTCCTCTATTTTGTATGTGAGTCACCACCACAGCGTGGCCACTGATGAGTGGTGTAGGTTCACGTCTGGGAACTGAACCTAGGCCACCAAAACGGAGTACACTGAACTTAACCACTAGGCCACGGGTTGGCCCCGTTTACGTATTTTCTGTGGCTGCTTTGTGTTACAACAGCAGAGCTAAGTCATTGTGACAGAGACCGTTTTGCCCATAAAGCTGAAAATATTTATTATTTTATTTAAATTTTTACTATTTTACTACTTTACAGAAAAAATGTGCTGATCTCTGTTCTATATCCTTACTGATTTTATTTGTCTACTTGCCCCATCAGTGAAAGGTTAGCGCTATGGAGGGTCTATCTCTTTCCGTTAGTTCTGTCAATTTTCTTTTCATGTATTTGGAGCTGTGTTATTAGGCGTGTGCACACTGGAGATTGTTGTCTTTTGATGCATCACCCATCTTGTTCTTATGAGAGGTCTCTCTGTCTCTGGTAATACTTCCATCACACAGTCTACTCTTTGCTGTTTTTCATGTCTGCATAGCATATCTTTTTTTACCCTTTTACTTTTAACCTGTGTTTCTTACAAACACCACATGGATGGGTCTTTTTTTTTTGTCCAATCCTATAATCTCTGCTTTTTAGTTGAGGTGCTTAATCCATTTGATTTTCGTGAAATTATTGATAGGTTTGGGTTTGAGTTGACCATTTGGATGTTTGTTTTCTATTAGTCCCTGACTTTTCTTCCTTTCCTGCCATTTTTTGATAAATTGAGTGTTTGTTCTATTTTATCTTCTCTGTTGACTTTATATTTTCTGTTGTGTAGTTTCTTTAGTGGTTTCTCTAGGGATGTTAGTGGTGTGTGTAACTCCTCACAGTCTCCCTGCAGAAATGCTACTGTAACTGTGCATCATAAGAATCTTATAACAATCTTCTTCCCATTAGCATCATCTACCTCTTGTGTTCCTGTCATAGACATTACCTCTGCATATGCCAAAAATCTCAAGATACATTTTTATTTTAACTAGTCAATAATCATTTGTCTCGTTGTATCAGCAATGTATTTGCAACATATAAGATGTAAAGCATTTTAATGAGAAACAGTGCTATTTCATATATAATGATGATTGACTTTATATCCAAATTAGTAGTATGACTCCTAGCAGAGGAAATATGGGAAGGCTTGTTACAGGTGCTGTCTATAGTTACGCCTAAGGGAAATTCCCTAAGATAACCAAGAAATAGGCAAAAGATAGTGGTGGAGCGATATGAGGGTGGGTGGGCATACTCACGCCTTAGCTATTACGGTGGAAAAGAAAGCCATAAGCCCCTTCCTGGAGCAGGAGTTCTGGACTTAAGGCCATTTGTACATGGAGCTCATTCACTAAGAACGGATGAAATTAAACTCGGATGGTTGATAATAAAGGGCATAGATCAGGTCGGACCCTCTTTGTGGATCCAAACCAGCGGCACTTCACTGCAGGTGATTCTGCTCCTCCTGAGGACACTGGCGATGTCTGGGAACATTTGTAGTTGTCACAGCAGGGGTGCTGCTGGTGTCTGGTGGATGGAGGCCAGGGATGCTGCTCAACACCCTACAGTGCACAGGACGCCCCCACAACAAGGAATTATCCAGTCCAAAATGTTAGTAATGCTGAGATTGAGAAAACCTGATCTGGACTAATAAGAATAACAAGTTAAATTTGCTTAGCATAAAAACACGTTATTTACAGAAGATGATATCAGATTAAAGGCTCTTTGACAAAAGGCTTGTTGAGTGACAGGTCTGTCTTTTTTATTTACATCTGTCTAACTGGATAAGACACCCCTGTGTATAATAATAGATTAATCATAATTATTGTAGACATTTCAACAGTTAATAAAAATCACATTTGAGTTTCTGGAATGCCTTTCTCAAGTGTTGAAGAAAACCCTAAACAGTGTAAAATAAGAAATTAGTCCCTTCTCATTCTCAATTTATAAGTTACTGATCTGAAACTTTTTTTTTAGGTTTCTGATGTAGAAGAGCTTACCCCCTTGGAGTGTCTTTCAGACCTTCCACCATTTTCAAGGTGTTTAATAGGAATAATAATAAAATCTCCAAATGTGGTCAGGTAATCATTTTCTCTGTACTGTCCTGATAACTCTTATCATGGATGTAAGCTCTCAGTAGCTTTTGCTCTATTCCTTTTACTCTCAGAATTTCTCCAAGGTCCATTTTTTTCTGTGAGAAATACATTCCATAGAATTTTCTCTCATTTTTTCAGTGATTAAAAGTATTTACATTATACTAATGCAAAGAGAAATTCTAACCTTCTATAAAATATATTCATCCACATAGTTTCTGGTTATGCTTATCCTACTAAAATTCAGTAAGAGGGAAACATTTAAAATGTTAATGTGTAGTAAAATACTTCTTACTATGTATACTTTCAGAACACTTGACTAGTTTTCATTTGACACACAGCTGTTACTCATTTCTCTGTCCATATGTCACTTGACTAAAATTCTGGGGTTGTGGCATATACAGGGCTGATAGATTACAGAAGCAATAGTTTTACAGATATCTGATACCTGTGGAACTTTAATAGCAGACATGTTCAATGAAAACTTTAAAAAGCATTGTTTTTAGCAGCTATGAATTATCTTTCAGTAACATGGTAAATCTTTTTTGTGTGCATTGTGGGTATAAAGATTAGCTTTGTTCACTTACCAGAATGTCCTTGTTCTCTTTCTAGCAGTATCATCTGATTTTAATATCTCACCTGTATGATTTGGCACACTTACAGTGAAAAGTATGGGAAGAGTTTAGTCAACTTCTCGTGTTACCTGAAAACTAGAATTCATGGTGGCTGATGAATCTTGGCTATGTTTGTTTTTCTATAAAGTATTAGGATGTATACTGTAGAGTAATTTCAGATGTTTATGATTTTTTGCAGATCATTTTTAGATGAATTAAAGGCATGTGTTACTTCTGATGATATTGAAGGCATTGTATGTCTCACAGCTGTTGTGCATATTATTTTGGTTATTAATAAAGGTTGGTTAAATTTTTTCTCATATTATCTGAGATATTGCTAGATGTATCTCACCCAGAACTTTCAGGGAATGTTTGGGAACTCAGCTCCTACGTCTGACGAGTCTCCTGCCAGTCAGGCTCTCACAGTTTCCACACCCTGCTCTTTCCTGCTCTGAACACATGCTGTCTGCCTGGGCTTCCTCTGCTTAGCTAACCCTGTGCCGCCTGGTATACCAGCTAGCTCATGCTTCCTAATCAGTTCCTGTCCACCTTTCCCCTTTCCCCACTGGACCCATTACATACCCCTCTCTGTGTCTCAGAATTGCATTACTATTGATTTGTCCTATATTAGTTATGTTTAAAAACCTGAATTTATTTTTGCTAATGATGGTATGTTTTGGTGTTAATATTTCATATGTCTGCTGTTTTGCATTAGCCTTAACCTTGCCTATTCTGAATATCCCAGCCAGATGAAAGAATACTGGAAAAATAATTGGAGATACCTATAAAATGCTTACCTCAGTGTAAAATATAGTAACATCCCTGCAGGTGGACTACTGTTAAGTTTCTATATATTTTGCTTAATTTTACTAATGTGGAAATTATTTTCTAAGATAACATATTATACATAGAGAATGCTCCTATTGAAACAAGCTCTCCTCATAAGTCTGCATGCGTAGTATGTTTGCAGATTTATGATACTACTTTGTAGCTAGTTTGACCCGGGCCAGGCATCAGAAAAGACTCCCTAAGGGAGTGTCCCCTGAGTTAAGATCTGGAGAATGAGGAATGCTCTCCACATGGAGGGTGTGAGGTGCCCCTGATTTGAGATCTGCAGGATGAGGAGACATTCTCCACATGGAGGGTGTGAGGATGGAAGTTGGGGTGCTGATAAGTACTTAGAACTTATTAGGTACTTAAATATTTGCCCAACAAGCGATGACTGAAATGTGGTAGTTGTCATTTCTGATGGAGGCACAGGTGAGCATCAAGTCTGACACGTGGCCAGAACTCATGGGCTCATATCCATTGGAACTCTACCTTAGACCTGATGAGTTGCTTTTGTAAACGTTTGATCTTCTCACATCCCTTTGAAGGGATAACTGCTGTTCCACAGGTCAACACATGGGTTAACTCAAAGGGAAAGGTAGGGAGGTTCAGTCCTTTGAAATTGTGCCCACATTGATAACAGTGTATGTTTGCTTTTGTGTGGTAGTATTAAAATCTTTTTTCTGTCTTTAATACAATTTTCCCATAGTTAAACATAAGAGTTCAAAAGTGAAGGATGTTGCAGCCACTGTTCACAGAAAACTGAAGACATTCATGGAAATTACTTTGGAAGAGGATAGCATGGAAAGGTAAAACATAGATACACTCCAGGTGTGAAGATCTGAAAACTACTAGTTACTCCTTAGGTATATTTAGATCACATTTTCATTTCTGCTGCTACAGCCAGGTAGTTAGAAAACTGGGGCCTGGGGGACAGAAATGTTTCTGTGGGCAAAACTCATGGAGCGTGTGTGATTTACTTCCTACTTCTGTCTTCACAAACAAAACTGTCAGTGACAAAATGCTGGTCTAGAAAAGTAAGAGCATACAAACTTATTTTATATGGTTTTAAAGCTAGACAGGTTACTTTTGGTGGTTCCGTGGGCATTCCTAAGATATAATTACCCAGTCCACAAGCATCCACATTGGGCATGGGAAAAGTCCTACAGAGACTGAAGAAAGATATATGATTTCTTCCTTTCTGAGTGGCCCGTAGCTACCACAGGGACTGCTGCTTAGGAATTTGTTCACTAGGTTACTTTCTAGCTCAGTGTTTTTGCTGCTGTATACTGTTTTTGACATGCTGTACAATTTCCTGTAGACTCTATTATGAATTATGTTTGACTCTTAGACCAGCCACAAAAACAGTGTTTTCTCTGCTGTTTTTTGAACATCATAAGGTTAAGTGTTACAGAGCTCTGAACTAGGTCATTAGTATTATTTATGCCTGGGAAACTAGCCACTTTCTATAGCCACTTTCTCCTTTGGAGAAAGGCTTTCAGAATCCTAAATTGCTAACTTATAAACAAAGACAAAGACAGTTTTATCTCTTTCTTCCCAGTCTGTATACTTTTTCTTTCCTTTTCTTGTCTTATTGCATTATCTAGGACTTCCAGTATGATGTTGAAAAGGAGTGGTGAGAGGGGACATCCTTGCCTTGTTCCTGATCTTAGTGGGAAAGCCTCTACTTTCTCATCAATAAGTATGATGTTAGTTAGCTGTAGGTTTTTTGTAGCTATTCTTTATCAAGTTGATGAGTTTCCCTCTATTCCTAGTTTACTGAGAGTTTTTGTTATGAAATTGTACTGGATTTTATCACAAGCTTTTTCTGCATCTATTGATATGATTGTCTGATTTTTCTTTTTTAGTCTGTTGATGTGGTGGATTACATTAATTCATTTTCAGATGTTGAACCAGCTTTGCATACTTTTGCATAGATAAATACCACTTGGTCATGGTGTATAATATTTTTATACATTGTTGAATTTGATTTGCCTAATATTCTGTTGCGTATTTTTGCATCTATGTTCATGAGAGATAGTGGTCTGTAGTTTTGTTTTCTTGTAATGTCTTTGTCTGGCTTTGGTATTAGGGAAATACTGGCCTCATAGAATCAGTTTGGAAGTATTCCCTCTGCTTCTGTCTTATGAAAGAGATTGTAGAGAATTGGTATCACTTCTTCTTTAAATATTTGGTAGAATTCACCATTGAAATCATCTAGGCCTCATGCTTTTTGCTTTGGAAGATTATTAATTATTGATTCAATTTCTTAATAGATATAGGCCTATTCAGATTGTCTATTTCTTTATCCATCAGTTGTGGCAGATTGTGCCTTTCAAAGATTTGGTCTATCTCATTAAGTTATCAACCTTGTGGACATGGAGTTGTTCATAATATTCCTTCATTATCCTCTTAATATCCATGGGATCTGTAGTGATGTCCCCTGTTTCTTTTTTTTTTTTTCTTATTGCTAAGGAAGATTGTCCCTGAGCTAACATCTGTTGCCAATCTTCCTCTTTGTGCTTGAGGAAGATTAGTCCTGAGCTAACATCTGTGCCGGTCTTCCTCTATTTTGTATGTGGGTCGCCTCCATAGCATGGCTGCTGACGAGTGGTGTAGGTCCATGCCTGGGAGCTGAACCCGGGCTGCTGAAGCAGAGCGTGCCAAACTTAACCACTAGGCACCAGGTTGGCCCTCCCTCTTTCATTCTTGATATTAGTAATTTGTGTCTTCTCTCTTTTTTTCTTAGCCTGGCTAGAGGCTTATTGATTTTATTGATCTTTTCAAAGAACCAGCTTTTGGTTTCATTGATTGTTCTCTGTTGATTTCCTATTTTCAATTTTTTTGATTTCTGCTGTAATTTTTATTATTTCATTTGCCTGCTTCAGATTTAATTTGCTCTTCTTCTTCTAGTTTCCTAAGGTGAAAGCTTCGATTATTGATTTTACATCTTTCTTCTTTTCTAATGTATTCATTTGGTGCTGTAAATTATCCTCTAAGCACAGCCTTTGCTGTATTCCACAAATTTTGATAAGTTGAGTTTTCATTTTCATTTAGTTAAAAATCTTTTAAAATTTTTCTTCAGATTTCTTCTATGACCCATGTATTATTTAGAAGTGTGTTGTTTAGGGCCGGCCCCATGGCTTAGCGGTTAAGTGCGTGTGCTTTGCTGCTGGCGGCCCGGGTTCGGACCCCAGGCGCGCACCAACGCACTGCTTCTCTGGCCATGCTGAGGCCGCGTCCCATGTACAGCAACTAGAAGGATGTGCAGCTGTGGCATGCAACTATCTACTGGGGCTTTGGGGGAAAATAAATAAATAAAATTATTTAAAAAAAAAAAAAAAGTGTTGTTTAATCTCCACAGACTTTAGGATTTTCCGGTTATCTTTCTGTTGTTGATTTCCAGTTTAATTCCGTTGTGGTCTGAGAAGAGGCATTGTATGATTTTTATGCTTTTAAACTTGTTAAGGTGTGTTTTCTAGCCCGGAATGTGATCTATCTTGGGGAATGTTCTATGTGAGCTTGAGAAGAATGTGTATTTTACTGTTGTTGGGTGAAGTAGTTGATAGCTGTCAGTTGTATGCAGTTGATTGATGGTGTTGAGTTTAGCCCTGTCTTTACAGATTTTCTGCCTGCTGGATCTGTCCATTTCTTTTTTTTTTTTTATGTTGTCTCTGTTTTTTTTTTTTCCCCCCCAAAGCCCCAGTAGATAGTTGTATGTCATAGTTGCACAGCCTTCTAGTTGCTGTATGTGGGACGCGGCCTCAGCGTGGCCGGAGAAGCAGTGTGTCGGTGCGCGCCCGGTATCCAAACCCGGGCCGCCAGCAGCAGAGCACGTGCACCCAACCACCAAGCCACGGGGCCGGCCCCTGTCCATTTCTGATAGAGGAGTTTTGCTTTATGTATTTTGTGATCCTGATATTAGGTGCATATGAATTTAGAATGGCTATATCTTGATGAATTGACCCTTTTGTCTTTATAAAGGATCCCTCTTTATCTCTAGTAATGCTTTTCCCTATGAAGTCCATTTTGTAAGGTATTAAGACAACTGGGCCAGCCTCTTTTGGTGAGCATTTCCTGAGTGTTTGTGGCATTCCAGCCAGGAGGCAGAAACCACACAGTGACTCGCACAGAGAAAGATCAATGTCAAGAATTTTTATCAGGGCATTGGTGTAATGGATTATTGGCTAGCAAGAGTTAAAGCGAACTCTAAAGCATAGAGGAGCACAGACTTGAGAGCAGCACACCCCAGGGCTGCGACATGGCTCCCTGGATGGAGAAGTCCTGAGGCCTTCTAGTGGGACTCACTGGATGTCCAGTTCCAGGGGTCAAGGATGCCCATCCACAGAGGGGTGCCGGGGGTGCTGCCACAACCAAGCTGGAGCCCTCTGGGAAGTCCTGCAAGCTTCCATTTACTGCTCGGGTCAGGTAGCCGCTGGCTGGACAGGTGCCTCATGGAGCCTGGTCGGGGCAGCAGCCTGGGGTGCTGTCTGTGCTGTCTGGGTCTCCTAGAAAAGGCTGGGTCCTATGGAAACCTTGTGCTGGGGAGCCTGTGTGTTCTGCAGGGGTCAGAACTGAAAAGAGAAAGCCCTCCCCACTTCCTGTGTCCCTCTAGCATCCCTACTGACCAGTGCTGTGCTTAGCGCCATTCCTGGATGAGGCCTTGAGCTGGGCACTAGAGCAGGGGGATTTGGGTATCCTTGGTTGTGAGTAAAGGAAATGCATTCAATTATATACTTTATTCTAAAAACTATTGAATATTTACTATGCAGTTTTAATAAGTCAGATTTGCAACTATATATTTGAAGGAGGAACCCAACAGACTCTAGGTTTTATGAACTTGTTTTATTTCGAGGTGTGTGGGGAAGAGGGAAATGATCTTCTCATTTGGAGGAAACTGAGGAGCATTTGTATATTTCAGAAAACACATGGCAGTGTAAATATTTTTACCAGGCACAAATATTAAATAAGGCAATCTGAATTGCAAACTATGTAAATGACTAGTTATTTTCATAGCATGTGGTAACAATCTGAGAAGTCCAAGCATTTTACATGATTTCTTTGTTAGAAATAACATTTTCAGGGACAGTTTTTTGCAGGTAGAATAATATTTACTGTTCTGAAGATGTAAGGAAAGAGGGACATTTGCTCTTTGCTAGAAATTTCTTGCATTTCCACTTTCAGAGTTTCAAGTGAGTACTTGAATTCTGTTAGTTACATTGAGAGAAAAAAAAGCCTTAGAAGTTCAAAATTTACACTCTGGAAAAGAAAAGGGTATTAGAATTTAAACACAGGGCATGTAATATTTTGTTTCTTCCTTGTTTCTACAACTATATGTCATCTTCTCTACTAAGCTGATACACAGATGTCAAAAAGAGTTCTTCCCTTTAAAGAGGAAATATCTTAAAAAAGTAAATAGGTAGGAACTGTGAAACACTTGCTTCTTACTTAAATATGCAAGAAGCACACAATAGAAAAACCAGTGTCAAAAAAAAAATCAGTCTAAAAAATTGATGAAACTTAATCTTCCATTAGATTGATTTTTTTTTAACAGTTAGGGTTTAAGATTATTTTAAAATATTATTGATTTAACTTTGGAGTAGATACATTAAGGCAAGTCAACATCTTTAAGACTCTGGGAACCCCTTGGTCCAATTAATGTTTTAGGCAATGGGGCATTAATTTAGAAGTGAACATTTTCTTAACAAATAGACTGATTTTCTCTCCAGCAAGGTTAGTATTTTGTTAGCTGGTCTGTTGGGTGCTAAATAAAAATGCTTCTCATTGCACTTTAATTGCCTCAGCATAGCATACTGTAAATTGAACATATTTTCTCAGAAGCAACAGCATGCATTTGCCAATGCACTGGTGCATTTAACTGTCAAGTATGTTATATTTATTACTTTCATAAATAATATGAAAATAGCAATAAATTTATAATTAGAGATTATAGAAATATTTCTTAAGTTTTGTGTTATATCATGAATTTTTCCCACTGAGTAAATGAACTGTAATCATATTGCAAGCGAATTACTTACCAATATTAATTTTGCCTATATATAGGCAATTTTGATTATATAGGCAACTGCAATTATATGCAGTCCCCAACATTAAACCTTGCTATCAGACCTTGAAGAAGAGAGTACTCCCTGAAAGTGACCTCTTTTTTGTTATCAAGTGTTGATAAATAATATCATTTTATTCTGCTGTATATAATTTTAATAGTCTGTTTTTAAAAATAAATTTGGGGCTGGATGCTTTTTTTTTTTTTTTAATATCTTTGTTTTTTTTAATTTTTTTTTTTTCCTTTGTGAGGATGACCGGCTCTGAGCTAACATCCATTGTCAATCCTCCTCCTTTTTTTTCCCAAAGCCTCAGTAGATAGTTGTATGTCATAGTTGCACATCCTTCTAGTTGCTGTATGTGGGACGCGGCCTCAGCATGGCCGGAGAAGCGGTGCCTCGGTGTGCGCCCAGGATCCGTACCGGGCGGCCAGCAGCAGAGCGTGTGCACCTAACCACCAAGCCACGGGGCCGGCCCACACGTCACCTATTTTAAATGTCTTGTCACACACGAGGAGAACCCTGGCCCAGGGGGTTTAATTTGTCTAAGGTTTGTCACTGTCCCTTCCGGCTCTAAAATTCCACGTTTCCTTCATTTTGTCCTTTAATGATTCTTTTTTTTTTTTTTGCTGAGGAAGACTGGCCCTGGGCTAACATCCATGCCCATCTTCCTCCACTTTATGTGGGACGCCACCACAGCATGGCTTGACAAGCGGTGCATCAGTGCGCACCCGGGATCCGAACCAGCGAACCCCGGACCACCGCAGCAGAGCGCGTGCACTTAACCACTTGCGCCACTGGGCCGGCCCCTCTTTAATGATTCTTATTTCTCTGGTCCACATAGTGTATTCAGTCCTTTCCGCACATAATAGAAGAATGAATAAATTCATAGTATAGTAGAATATGTTTTTAGTATCCGAGGCCTTTAGGGTAGTCAGAAGACAGGCAGCCTGGGTTTGAACCCAAACTCTGCCTTTATTAGTGGTGTGGTCTTGGACAAGTTGCTTCACCCCTCTCAGCCTCGAGTACCTTGCCTATGAAAGGAGAACATACGATGCCCAGCGGCCCAGTGTGCTAGCACAATGCTAGGTTCAGAGGTGATGATAAATAGTCATTATCGTACTTAGTCTGGACTTAGGTCAACGTGAGCAGCTGATTATTCTATAGTTAATAAGTACTTTTGCCAACATAACCTAACATTTTTCTCTTATGTATTTTTAAATTCATGCTCACTTAAAGAGACAATATTTTTGAGTAATTAAAAATAAATTTTAGATTCTGGAGTGTTGGTGACTTAATGTATTCTGTGTCTGTGTGTCTCAACTCCTGGGGCATGGTAAGAGAGCGCTTTCCTCCCTCCGGCCACCAGGGAGTTTGGGTCTGGCTGACGCCTTGACCCACAGAGGTCCAGAGATACTGGCCCTCAGGAGTGTTCTGGTCTCTCTAGCTCCTACAGTGCTGACCCAGTTGGGTGGTCTCTTTTCTGTCACTGAGGCTAGGATTGCTGGAAGACATGCAGGAGCATCAGGAGTCTTCTGCTGCTTCTTTTGGATACAGATACCTTGCTTTCTGCTGCGATGGTGGCCATCACAGGCCTTGTGTCTCTCATTGTCCACCATCTCTGCATCCACCTGAGATGTCTGTAGGGCACAGACTAACCACACACATAGAGTGGCCCGGCAGTTAGTGAGAAACAATCCGAACAACCATTAGTAAGGTAACAGTGATGGGCCAGCCAGACAATTAATAATAAGAGTCTTTAAAGAAAAAATCAATTGTAGCCCCAAAAGGATGATCTAGAACTAAAAACCCTTGAATTAAAAATGTCAGCGATGCACTGGAGTGATGTCAGTGTTGAGACTCAGATTCCAGATGGTCTAAATGGTCCAGCTGGACGAATATCTCAAAACACAGAACAGATACTAATGAAGAAAAGTCATGGGAATAAAGATAGTCTTGGAGGAATAGACCCAAGAGAAGCAGTAATCTAACAAACGATAGGAGAAAATTTCCTGGAACTGAAGAAATATGTAATTTTAAAGATTTTTTTTTTTCTTTCACTAAATTCTGGATAGGCGTGATGAAAAAAATCACACTAAGTCTGAATAAAATTCCTGAATTCCAGGGCTAAAGAGAAAATTTTTTTAATTTTTCTAGATTGGTGCTGGCCACTACAGTAGAAATTGTACACATGAAATATGGTGAGTCTGAATTGAGATGTGGCCTAAGTGAAAACTACACACCAGGGTCTGAAGAGAGTACAAAGAAAAGATAAAATATGTTAGTAATATTTTTATATCGGTCACAAGTTGACATATTTTGAGTATATTGAGCTAAATAAAATATATTAAGATGAATTTCACCTGATTATTTTGATTTCTTTTAATGTGGCCACTAAAAAGTTTAAAGTTGTACACGTGCTTATTGATACTAGACAGGGCTGTTGTAGACTGGTTGGTTTCCACGAGGAGCAGGGCACGGGCAGACTAGTGATTGTAACATCCCCAGGCTGAAGAGTGTGAATCAAGCTGAGACCTCATTTAGGATAAAGACTGGTATTTGTGTCTAGGGAGGAATTCAGAGGTTGGCTGGTCCGCATACCCTCTGAGGGGGGTAGGGTGAACGTGCACTTGTAAATACATCCATTTGTCCTAGAGAGTGGTGACGTACTACCTGGCATGTGTGAGAACTGCCCAGTGAGGGCTCTGCATGTAAAGTGGACCCCCCTGCAAGGGAGTTAGGATAAGGTCCTAGAAAGGAAAGTACCAAGTGAGCTCAGCCCTAACCTGGCTTGGTGGGGCAGGGGAGGAGCTACTCTCACTTGGGGACAAGTGTGCACAGGAGAGGGGTGGGAAAGGGAAAGGGTCTGAAGGTCTCAGGTGATTGAGGTAGCGAAATGAAGCATTATTGTAACAGCGCATCTTGGGGGCAAATGGTTCTCGTTTATCTTGTGTTGTGCAGGAGGGAAATAAGCTCTTGACTGTGAGTGCTGGAAAGGGAAGTGCATGTGTCCTATTCATGAGTCTGCTGTGTATCTGAGTAGTGGTTTAGATCCTCATAAAGGAGAGTACTTTTGAGTAAAAAAGAGTCCACCCATAGAAAACGCAGCAGGTGAGCACCTTTTATTGAATAGTAGTGTTTTATTTGTGCAAAGAGTTCCTTGGGGACCCCAGTGAACTGTTGCTGGCCAGGGGGATGGTGATGATGGCTCTGCTTACTGATGGCTTTGTCCATGTGCCATGTGTTATACTAAGATGACTAGCGATGGGGGTTCTTACTCCAGTTGACATATGAGAAACAATTAGTGAAACAGTTACTGATTATTTCAACTTTCTTTTTAGGTGTATTTGATTGCAAACTATGTTTAGATTTATTTTGTGAAAATGTACATTTGGGTAATTTGATCACTTATCTCTGTAGCTAATTATTTCTTTCTTTATATTTCAGGTTTCTCTATGAAACGTCATCGAGAACTTTGGGAGAACTTTTGAATTCATAAGCAAGCCAACATCTTTGGTCATGTAAAAATAGAGAAAAAGGACTTACAGAAAATGAAATGATTGTGTATTTTCCTAGTGTTTTTAATATTAATAACCCATGTAATAGAGAAGAGGTGGGATTCATTTGGTAGGGTAGGAGTAGCAAACTCAAAGGTTCTTAGATTTTTGCCCAGCGCCTGCATAAAAATATATTTAATGTAAAGGACTCTAGGTATCAATTGTGCAGAAACCTGTGGTGCAAAGAAAAAAGACATTTTTCTAGCAAACCTGGTTGTTTTATATATATATAATATTGCTTTCAAACTATGAATAATAAAGCAAAGACAATATCTGTTTGTATACTTTATTTTTTTATTTGTTTATCTTTTTTTGTGAGGAAGATCAGCCCTGAGCTAACATCCGTGCTAATCTTCCTGTTTTTGCTGAGGAAGACCGGATCTGAGCTAACATCTGTTGCCAATCCTCCTCCTTTTTTTTTTGCCCCCAAAGCCCCAGTAGATAGTTGTATGTCATAGTTGCATCCTTGTAGTTGCTGTATGTGGGACGCGGCCTCAGCATGGCCAGAGAAGTGGTGCGTTGGTGTGCGCCCGGGATCCGAACCTGGGCCGCCAGTAGCGGAGCACGCGCACTTAACCACTAAGCCACGGGGCCGGCCCTGTTTGTATACTTTATTTAAATATATTAATATGAGCTGTCCCTCTAGGGACAAGTGTTGAATTCTGGCGCAAGCCTGTCTTTCTACGAGGAGTAGAAGGTGCTAAAGCAGAGGGAGTGGCTGTGCAGGGCACAGGGAGAGGAGCCATGTGTGGGAGCCTGTAGTGGTCTCCTCTTCTGTCTGGAGGCTGTCTCACTGGATGTTGAGATGGGCCCCGTGGCTGTAAATATGAGGAACGCAGAACTGAGTCATTCAGCCTGAAGCTGAACCACATTATTTTATTTTTCCTCCTGAGGGCTGTCACGGTGCTAATGGAGGACTGGCCCAGGCTTCCTGGCTGCATCATTGTGACCCCGTCTCCCACCCCAGGTTACCAGGTCTGCATGTTCATACCCTTGTCAGGTCCTAAGTCATGGCAGATCAGCATCCTGTGGCCTGGTAGGCCACTTTATGACAGATGGGAAGTGAGTGCTTCTTCAATCACATGTTCATTCTGTCCTCAGCCCCCAAGCAAAACAGTGAAGAAAAGCCAGTTTTTCAGTGCCTCTGTTTCTCTAAGGTACAGAAATGGATCACTTACTGCAGTTATGAGCATTTAGGGTAAGGTTTTACCAAGGGATATCTGAGGAATGGGAGGTGGAGGTTGCTTGTTTTAGGCGATTTTGAAAATATGACTTTCTAGACATCTTTGCTAACTTAGCTGTATTCTAGATTGGTGAATGTACTTTTCTTTTCTTTTTTGCCCTTGCCCTTGTTTGATTTAGTATCAAGAATTGTCTAGCCTCATAAAACGAATTGAGGAGTGTTCTATGTTTTTATATTCCTGGAAGAGTTTGTGAGAGATTAGAAATAGTTCCTTGGATTTGTTTTAGGACTAACTCTAAAATTATCTGAGCTTGCTGTTTTCTTTGGGGGGAAAAGTTAATTAGTGTTTAAATTTATATACGAGTTTTCAGAGTTGTCGAGTTTTCTCTTTTATCTTGTGTGAATCTTGATGAGTGAACTAATCCAATTTGTGAAAAAGTGTATTTCAATTTTTTTCTTTTTCTTTTTTTTTTTTTTTTTTTGGTGAGGAAGATTAGCCCTGAGTGAACATCTGTTGGCAATCCTCCTCTTTTTGCTGAGGAAGATTGGCCCTGAGCTAGCATCCATGCCCATCTTCCTCTATTTTATTTTATTTATTTATTTATTTATTATTTTTTGTGTGTGTGTGAGGAAGATTGGCCCTGAGCTAAGAGCTGCCAATCCTCCTCTTTTTCCTGAGGAAGACTGGCCCTGGGCTAACATCCATGCCCATCTTCCTCTACTTTATATGGGACACCGCCACAGCATGGCCTGACAAGCGGTGTATCGGTGCAGCCCGGAATCCGAACCAGCGAACCCCGGGCCGCTGCAGCGGAGTGCGCGCACTTAACCGCTTGTGCCACCGGGCGAGCCCCTTTCTTCCTCTATTTTATAGGTGGGACACCTGCCACAGCATGGCTTGATAAGCAGTTCGTAGTCCCACGCCTGGGATCTGAACCCACAAACCCGAAGTGGAGTGCACGAACTTAACCACTGCACCACCAGGCCAGCCCCTATAATGCAGTTTTTAATGGGTCAAAATAGTTCATGAAATTCTCCTCTAGGCAGACACCCTAGAGAAATTCCTGTGGATGTGCACGGGGAGACACGAGCAAGGACACTGCGCAAGGACACTCAGTGTCAGTGTTTGTAACAGCAGAGTAGAAACAAGTCAGATTCCCTTCAGTGGGAGAAAGAGCGAGGCAGCTGGGGCAGCTGCAGCTCCCACTTCCCTCGGGATGACAGGGCTGGGTGGGAGGTCACCTCAGGAGCATGATGTTGAAGAAAACAGCAAGTCAGAATAATATAGTATGATTCCATTTATGTAAAGTTCAAAAACATGCAAAGCTGAACACTATATTGCTTATGCTCACATGTATGATAATATGTTAGTAAACAAGGAAAAGATAAAACAAAATCCAAAATACTGTTTTTGGGAGGGCAGGATGGAAGAGCATGTAGGATTCTTCAAAGGTACTGGTAGGAATCTATTTCTTAAACTGGAAATAGATATTTGAATGTTCATTTTACTGTTATTCTCTCTACCTTACACAGTTATAAATATTCTTTTGTATTCAATATTTAACAAAAATTTAAACAGAATTGGATGTGAGGAAAAGAGAGAAAGCGTACACGTTTTTGGTAAAGGATGTGTTATCAACTTGGGAGCGCTGGGACACAGGACTTAGCACCCTGGCAAGAACCCCAGGTGGCGGTGTGAACACTCCACGAGGCCACCTCCTAGAAGCATGGAAGAAGTGATGGCCACAAGAAGTGAAGATGCCAGAATTGCCGTGCAGACCATGAAAGTGGGCTCAGAGAGGTGGGCGTGCTAGTGTGGACACTACGTCCGGCCAGGAAACCCACCACAGGACTGTGTTCCACAAGAAGACACACCATCCACCGGAGCCAGAAGTCTGCCCCGGGAACAGTCTGCCAGCATCGCTAAGCAGGCCAGGGGTGGCTCCCCAGCTGATGGTACAACAGGCCGTCATGGAACTGGGCTCTCTTGAGGGCCATAGGATTACAGGACCCTGAACAACAGGACCAGCTGGCAGCAAATGAACATCAGATGGGTGGATGCAATGAGTGTAAAAACGGCAAGGCCAGAGGGTCTTGTTCCTGTCCAGGAGAGTCATGGAGAGGGTCCTGGAATACGGCATTTCACAATAGATGGGCAGTGAGGGCCCTGGCCAGTCTTTACCATCAAAGGAAGTCAAAGATGATGGCCAGAGGACTCAGGGAAGTGGCCCCAGTAAGAAGCCACAATCCTTTGACCAGGTTCCAGACCTGAGCCATGAGTGACCAAGAGGCCAGCTCCTCGAAAGGAAGGAAGTATACACACCCAGTCTCTTCCCTAAGTGGCCGGTGGCCACAGATCTTAGGGCCCTGGGAAAACGTGATCCCCAAACACTGTGAAGATCCTGGGTGTGAGTTGACATGGATACCTGTCCCTGTGAGTGTGGGGCAGTGTCTAGGCTCCAGGTAATAAATGGAGTCTGACCCATGGCCTGTAGAGTCAGCTATGCAGAAGGCCGCATGGAGGCCTCAGAAACAGCCCCGCCGCCACCAAACCAGTAAGTGAAGCGCAACATCACATCGAAAAGGAGTGGCAGGCACCAGTATCACCTGGAAAGACCTGAGGATAAAGGTGGGCCATCTTATCTCCCTTTAGCTCTCTGCTCAGCCCCTGCAAAGCCAGGTGGAACCTGGAGAATGAGAGTGGGTGCTGCCGCCTTGACCAACCATCAGCAGACATGGGTCTCTGCTTGAGCAAACCAACACAGCCTCAGCCCCAGAGCACGTGGTCACTGATTGGGCAAGCACCTTTTCCATCAGCATTCGGAACAGTTCACATTCGTATGAAATGGACAAAAATATATGGTAACAGTCTTGCCCTAAGCCCATGTTAACTTTCCCATGCTCTGTCACAGTCCAAAGAGATCCTGCCATCCGGACACCCTCCTGGAGGCCGCCCTATCCCACGATGCCAAGACATCATGCTGAATTGGGCCACGTGAGCAAGAAGTAGCTGGACATAGGGGTGTTGAAGTGACATGTGTGCACCAGGGATGGGAGGTAAGCCGTGGGTGGTCAGGACTTGCCATGCTGTGCCATCATTAGTACACGGTGGTCTGGATTCCTCGTGGCCAGCTTTGGATGAGGAAGTGGCCTGAGCCAGTGTCATGGGTGGTCAGCCTGGTAGATGGGTACAGGAAAAAATGGATAGGGCAGCACTTCTGCCCCACCTGGGCTGGCCCTGGAAGACAGTGGGGAGGGAGTGTTCTCCTAAGAATGCAGCTTCCAGTGGCACACGTGGCTATCCACATTCATACTGCGTCCCCAGGGGCTGCCAGCCTGCAGCAGCCAGTGAAATGCACCACTGCAGGATGAGTCCAGGTGGTGGTCCACGCAGATGGGTGCCCTGCTCAGGTGAAGTGCACATGGTAACACAAAGACCTCAAATGGAGCTGTGTCTCCATGAGAAGAGCTGAAAGGTGGCCAGTGGGTCAGGGGCCTGGAGGGAGAAGTATTGGAAGTTGGGGACAAGCAAGTCTGGTGCAGAGGTGTGTGCATGAAAATGTGGAAGTCTTCAGACCATCTGTTAAAATCCAACAGAAAACCCTTGTACTACACAGTACACACAACAGGAAGTCTTCATACCACATGTCAACACTCACCAGAAAAGCCTCCTCCAGGACAAGGCACCAAACAACAGGGAGAAGGCACAATGTGACCACCTCACTCATCAGCCACCCAGTGCTGGTTTGGTGGGCATGAACAAAAGCCAAAGGGGCAGGGAAGGAGACTAGGCATGGGCCCAACACCAGGGGATCCCACTTAACTGAGGCTAGTCTGCTGCCATACCCAATGTCCCCCTGCCAGCCTTAGAAACCAAGGCCGGGCCCTTGTTATGGGACCCCCTCCTTGAGGAGGCCAGTCAGCCCTTTGCTAATTGCAGATCTGTGAGGAAGTATGACTCTTCTCTTTAAAACCTGCCCTAACACAAAACATTTAAACTATAAATTGTTTCTTTTTTTTTTTTTTTGCTATCAAATTTTTTTTTTTAATTAAAAATATGGAACGCTTCACGAATTTGCATGTCGT